TCAAACACATTCGGCCGCTTTGTGAAAGAAAATACAAATGCTTAAGAATGTTCTGATATAAATATTTAAATCATCCCCTGCATAATATACCGCTGTACAATGATCTGCTTTGATATCGCTCTTAGCCAATCAGATCGCGCGTTGTATCGGCCAAAAACCAAAGTCATCTGATACTACGAGTTACAGAAGCTGTTGAAATATTCATAATTTCCAAAAATGTGTGCAGGCAGAGATTTGAGAGAGACAAAAAGGAATTTGTTCCCGTGGCACGTTGCGGTATCAAATCCAGAGAAAGTATTTAAAAACATCCATGCCTAAAAAATTAAGCACGAGCTCAGGCCGGCATGCTGAGTTTTTCTATTATTAATACGGTGCTAAGAAAACAAAAAAAGCACAAGTTGTGTGAATTTTCAGTCCAAACACACATATCATCAATCAGTTTTGTATAGAAGGTCTTCACACACAACTCGATAGTGATTTCATATGCAATTCACACTTTTTGTTCTGGTATATATTGTGGAAACCAAGGGTGTGTTCTCGCTGTATTTTCGACTAATCTTGTTTGCTAGTACAGTTGTTAGTTTCCTGTCTATCAGATTTAAAAAAGACTATCCGAAAGCAGTTTCATCCAATTTGTTTATATCTCCACACAAAAATTGAAGTCGAAAATGAAATGCTCATTGTTTTTGTACACTGAGAGCGACAACGCAAAAGGTCGGCGACTCATGAATTATTTTCAAGGCAGGCTGCGAACGATTGCAGACATGAGAAACATCCTGAGCATTCTTGTAAGGAAACAAGATTTCAGGACTATTCTTCGCCGCAGTGAGTGCGTTGTGCTAATTGGGTCACCCCGAGCTTTATCCCTCATCCAGAACAAGGAGCAAGAGAAAGACGAGGACGACGTTCTTTTCGATGGCAAAGTAATGCATGATGAGTTCACAGAGAACAAAGAACTTGTCAAGAACAGACTCATCATCATTCTCTTCACAGAAAGAACCAAGAATGACTGGATCCCAAATGGTTTTGATGAAAAGCGAGTTTTTCATGTGGAAGATGGAATAGTTCCTCTCGATGGATCTCCCACATTATGCCACCTTGAATATCGCATGAAGAAAATATTACTCGGCGACGATTTCTTGTACTGATCTCCAGAATAATGGAGTTTAACACGAACTGAAGGTTTCCTCAAGGAGAGAGCAAGAACCGTTTCTTTTTTTTTTTTTTTTTTGCATTTGTTAAAAGCTGGCTGCTAAAATAACCTTCCTTAGAAAGACTGTTTCAAAATGCTAGACAGTGATAATTAATCTTGGTTGCGTGTGTGGATAAATTTTCAATCAAAACCCTTGTTTAATGGTTACACTCTTGGCTCAACCGTGTGACTAACTTGAGTAAATGATATGGAATTATGAAGACAAAATATTCAGCTGAAAGAGCTCAAGAAAAATATTGTAGATACTTAAATAGTGCTTGAAAATGTTCGAAGAATTTGCAAAGCTTCCGAACAGAGCAGTGGGGATTGATGTGACTAGTGTCAGTTTCGCAATCTTTAGATTCCTTAAATGTTCCGGTCATGTTCTTCTTGCGTTAAGGAGTCGATGTTTATTTATTAGTCTATGCATTGTGCTATATTAAAAAATTTAAAGATATTAGTGTTCTCTGTGTAACTTAATAAAGCATTGGTATACTATTAACCTCTGTTCAGCGCTATTCAGGGCATACATAGTATGAAAAATATTGATTAGTTTCATAGTAGTAAACGAATTACAAAGCACAGTATTGGTGCATAAGGTCGATAGCAGGGAAAAAGTGAAATGGTGACAAGTGTGATGAATCTCGCTTCCAGGATCTCCGGTTCTTCTTACCGACCATAAAAAAATAAGAACGATTGATATTGTAGCGGACCCCGTGCGACAAGTACCCTGACTACGATGACGAAATCAATGAATTTGCTTCACAATTGCTAGACTAACGCAGTAGTTGGCTTCAAAATACAATATGTCGGGCTAAACTGAATAAATGAAGTACCGTAAAATTTCATCTGTCGCAGGTTCCCGCTTTGAAGCTATACGCTCCAACTGAGAAGATAGAAAATTTAAGCGCAAAGTCCATTCTTGATCGCATTAAAACAGTTATAGCTGGAATTCGAGATTGTTTAATACACTCATGGCAATCTATTACTAAAACCTTTGCTCACACGCATCGTTAGATTTTAAAAATCTACTTCATTGGAAGCTAGTCGGCTCTCCTCGAAAGAGACGGGGCTTTACAATATGTCGTATTTCTGTCTCATTACACACGAGTTTTGCCAGTCAAGATTCCCTTAATGCAATCTTCGAGATGGTCTAAGGAAGGATTTCCTCTCTGAATTTCTTCACCTTGCAAGTTAAATATTCTCTTTTCATCCAGACCGGTTGGGATCCAGTCATTCTTGGTTCTCTCCGTGAAAAAAACTATCACTAATCTGTCTAGCAGTTCTTTGTTTCCTGTGAACTCATCATGTATCACTTTACCGTCGAAAGTGATAAAATCATCTTCGGTTTCTTGGCGTTTGTTTTGAATGAGTGACGAAGCATGGCGCGATCCTGTCAAAACGACGCAGCTGCTGTGAGACAGTTCTTTTTTAAAATCCTGTTCCTCTGCCAGAATATCAGTAATATTTCGTACATCTGCCACTTTTCGTAGCTTGCCTTGTAAATAATCCTTAAGCTTCTCAGCTTTAGAGTTGTCGCTTCCAGAGTACAGGAACAAAACGCTCTTCATTTTCAGTGAGCGTGAGGACAATTGAAACAGATAAACACGCTCGTCAAATGTATCACTGACTTTCCGTTCGTAAACTTAGATAATTCGAGGGAATTTCCGCTTCTTTAAAACTCAGATGGCAAAATCAAACGCACCTTTGTTCCCTCGATAAACCACAGTCGACAAAACTGCTTCAATATCCCATATTTCTCTAAATCATGCTTTGAATGGACAAGAAATATATCACGGCCACTGAGCGTAAATAATTTGCGACATCACGACTTTAATTATTTCAAGTGTTTTGCATTCAAAATGATTAAAGAGGTGTCAACAAACATTTTAAAAGCAACCAATTAAAAAAGCTAATTTTTTTTGTTTCGAATAAATTAAAAACCAGAAGGCGAAAAATTGTAATAAATTATGTATGAATTTTTTAGAATCGGCATAATTAAAAAATTATGCAGCAGCTTCAAAATTTATTCGCCTAAGTTTGCCTCACTATGAGAACGAGGTGAGTTCGCGCCCTTCTCAAACTATTCCTAGTCTTCCGTGATCCATAACACAGTAATGAAGTAACGCCTAGCGAATATTCGAACTACTGCAGTCGTTTGTTGATGTTGATCGCATATTCGAGATGCTGATGGATGTTTGAAAGTTAAATCTATCAGATCACATTGTTGTGCGCACTTCATCTAGTGGAAGTGTGCATTGAAGTCAACTTTTTCGACTTTGAAGAAGGAAACCATTCCAGGATTTTGGATTCAGAGCCGTTGGCGATCCAATCAGCTGAAAACTGCGATCGCAGCTGTTTAGAAAATAGTGGATCGCAAAGCTACTGTTTGATGAGAAAATAATTTATTTTCAAAGATGAAACGAGAGGACCAAGAGTTGTTAGAGCGGGCTGAGGAGAAAGAGAATAACGAAGAAAAACCTGAAAATGAAAGTCATAAACAAGACGATTTCTTCGAAGATGAATTTGACAGGGAGTTCTGGGTGAAGGTAATGTGAGCCGCTGTGTGTCCAAAAAAAATTTTTTTTTCGCTTGGTGATTTAGCATTTACTTGGTCAAAATTTGCTTAAGGGATGAGGAGTGATCTCGTTCTAAAGAAAAATAATTGATTATAAGAGAGATTGAAAGTCACACTGTTTTTTCTTAAAATTGACCTCTGCCTACACAATCTATCCAACTATATTATTTTCATATCACTTTATTTAAAAACAGTATTTAACTGAGACATTGTTTGATGCAAGGTAGTCTTCAAATGTAAGTTTCTCTCTTTTTGACATTAGTGTTTGGTAATAAGGTATCTAACCAAAAAATCTGTTTCTGTTGGATCCTTTCAAAAATGTATGATTTTGTTATGTTTGAGTTCCTCTGAAACAAACTGTTTACAAGTTGAAATACAACATGTTTGCTTTACCAGTTGGGGAAATGAGAAAAGGGCTTCTTCTCAGTCTATTTCCTTCATAAACCTCAAGACAAAGATGATTTTGGAAAATAATTGGCCTCAGACCTCTCTTCACTAAAAACTTAAACCACTTTTTAACCCAAAGATATTGTGCAATCATTCATATTTAGGTTCGTCAGAAGCAGAGTGAAGGACTGTCTTGGAGCAGTGCTATGAATGAAGTACGAGTTCAAAGACTAATCCAGAAATACAAAGATAATGGGGAACTGGACAGTGAGGATCCTGCACTTGTGATGTTAAAAACTTGGCCAACATCCAAAAGATACAAAGACAATCCTGATAAACTACTAGGCCTTGAGCAGCTGGTATGTAGGCTATGCAAACTTTTGAACATACTTGTGTCTGTAAAATTCAAGTTTACAAATTAGTGACTTGTAGAACACAACACACTCAGAGGTTTCATTAGGCAGTGTTCTCTTGGGATATATTAACTATAACAATTGCGTATTTCAGATGAAGACAGGTGTTTTACTCTTTTGTCTAATCTACATGTAAGAAGCTGGTGCTTTAGAAGAGAATAGCTGGTAAAAATGCAGACTGCTGATGCTTATGGAAAACACTGATAAGGTCTCAGAGATCTAATAATGCTTTGGGTATTGTACTGAATTTTCTGTGCAAATTTTCTTTTCAGACATGGTGTAGTGTAGTGATGTCATATATTGTCCTGTTACTTCACACAATTTTCATCTTTTACATTTCTAGATGAAAGCCCTGCATACTGACCCCACATTAGAAGGCTGGACCACCAGAAAAATTAGCACCCTAACAATTCAGCCTCCACACTTCCAAAATATATGATATTAATTGACTTTCAGTAGTTCAATATTTATTTGATATTATCATTGACCTGTACTTTGCAGATTAGTAAGTTTTTGGTGATTCTGTTGGAAAGTGAATTGAACTCGGGCAACAGATATGAAACATTCAGAGATGCGGATGACAAAACAGGAAAGACATTGCTACATTATGCTGCACAACTTGGCTTTTTACATGTCACCAAAACACTTGTGAAGAAATGTCCAGGACTGCTTGCTTTGAAAACAAAAGCTCAGCTTAAGCCCGAGAAGAAAAGAGCCATGTTACCAATTGAATTGGCATTAATAGCAGAGAATGATGAAGTGGCAGCATATATGATTAGAATGATGTGGCATGAAAGGTATACATGTATGTAAATTTATCATTGCAATCATTCATGGTGACTTAGAAACATTTTGGAAACAGTTAGATGGAAAGGAAAAGGGAAACATTTTGCTAAAAGACTGGACAAAGTAGGAAACTAGGGCTGAACTTCTAAAAGAAAACAAATGAGAATTTTTATATAATTAGGAAAGAGAGGTTTTGAATTAAAATTCTTCATTCAGAAAGCAGCGCTGTCAATTAGGTGTCTACAATTTGCATGTATTCATTAAAAATTTGAAATGAATGTTGCTCCTGATTATTAATCCTTATTATTCAGAGTCACTTGCCATCTAATTTTTCCTCACAATATCACCCCTGAATCACACATCAAGTCACAATTAGGAATGATCACCAACTAATGAAGCTCTTGATCAATGAACAAATTCTCCTTGTCAGCACCTAAGGAAATATATAGATGTCAGTGTGAAGAATATACATATATGTGATTTATCAAAGGATTTCCAATATTTTTCAGTAGATGTCAGCCATTAACTTAAATGTCAATTGCTTTGCTTTCATTAGAGTACAGAGCTTATTTTCATGGAGACCAGGAGACATGACCAATCCACAGCCATCTTTCTTCAGTTTCAAGTCAATTGTCAAGAATCCCAAAATGAAGGTGAGATTTCATAAATTTCAAGTGTACTTAAAAGGGAAATTTTTCCCAAAATTCATTAAATGTTGTCATGCTTGTAACCATTGGAACACATTTGTCAATTTTCTGAATATAAACTAAAATACATGTAAGTAGGTTTTTCTCATTAAGTTTTTGTCACTTGAGAGTTACAGGACCCCTTGAATGTCAAGTGGCATTTCACTAATAATCTCAACCCTATCAGCCAGAGGATTTTTCAGTCTTAGGACCACACACTTGATACCATCAATATCTGTTTCAGATGTTTTGGTAAAGCTGTTACTCATTTTTCTATGCCATTGGGTACAATGTAATAATTTCATGAAACACATAAACCTACATGCACATGTCTGTAGTGCATGGCCTAGCCAGGGACAACAAGTTATCTATAGCTCATTTTGTAGAGCATAGGCAAGAAATCTGCTCCTGCTGCCATTTACATCTTCACAGGGACTTGGGTTTTCCTTTTCCCATGTCCATGAAGAAGGCTTTGCATTTTGCTCTCTGTAACTCTGTTTTTTCATTCTTTTCCTTAATTTTCTTTTTGTTTGTTTGTTTGTTTGTAGAAAACTGTAGTGGCTGTACTTGACCAGATGGTAAACCCTCACTGGCCACACCTCCCAAAGCGCAAGGACGAGTATGATAATGATGATGAGGAAGAAGGAATTGAAGGGGCCTGGACCACCATCCCTGATGACCCACTGGACTATCACTTTTATTATCATATTTTGGATGGTGACGAGGGAGGACGACCTCCAAAGATTGTGTCATCTGAAGGACTTAAGCAGACAGACAATGAATATTTTAATCTGAGGGACAAGTCGTGTTTGCATTTGATTGCTATGAGTAACAATAAGGTGATAATCAAAAACATGAATTTTATTTCATTTTGTTATTATTGATTAAATGATTGATGTTAAACATTTAATGGTAATTAGGAAAGATGATCTAATTTTGTTGTGCACTGAAGTGAAGTGTAACCAGAGATAGGCATAGTGGATTCATTTCCCAAAAAGAATTGACACTGCAATCTTCTGAATCATACTTTTAGGAGGCTCTGCAACATCCTGTTGTCAGAATGTTGATAAAGACAAAATGGAACCGTTTTGGACATTGGTTTCTCAGGTAAATATGCCAATTTTTTAGGACAATTTCTAAAGAAATAGCCACACATTAGGCACCCCCACATGTTTCTCTCCACTCAGGAGTACAAAAGGGTGATTTCTAACTGCGAGTGAAATGCAGGAAATCTCTTATAAAAACCTGATGGAATGCACAAGGTAACCTGCAATAGAACATCATATCATCCAGGGGGGGCAGGTCCACAGAGATGGTGGTAAGCTCTGCCAGTCATGCAAATCAGTCTTTTTTACAGATTCCCTTCTACCTTTGTAACTTTTAGACATGGCCTCAAGCAGTTGTAACTTTAAAGTAGTTGAGCAATGTTACCAAGACAAGAGATAATTGTTCACCTTGTGATTTAACATAATGTTTTCCTGAATTGCCAACCATGTGTTCATCTTAAAAGAATGCAAAACACTGCAATAATCCTATGTTCATTTTTAGTGTTCATGCAGCATTGTATGTGATCTTCTTGCTGTTCTTGTCCTATTCCTTGATTTATGGCTCCACCAAGCTGGACCCCACCCAATACAGGGGTGCTGCTGATTCACTACGAGGAATTTGTGAGGTTGTTACCCTTTTCATGGTTGTCTTCTACATCTGTGAAGAAATCAATCAAATGAGAAAGTAAGTTACTTGTTTATAATACTTTTTTGTAACAATGAGATGAATTTCCCTGTCTGAAAGCATGATTGTGATGTACAGAAATTATGGGGTGTGAGCTATGGATTTTTTTTATAATATTTATTTTAATTACAAAACACAATTACTACATTCACTATTTACTGCAGGTCTTGTTACAATACTCTACTAACAGAAAAACACTTACGTTACTTACAATATGGGTTACGCTGTCAATACAATAACTGAATACACTGTTTGCAGAAAATACAATTTCTTGTATTATGGGCTACTTACACTACTAACAATACAATACTCTACCTATCTAGTACATCACTTGCTAAACATACAGTTACGTTATACGAAAGACTTACATTACTTACAATACAATATTCTAGTTACTATAAAATTCTAACGTGTCCTACACTATGCTCATTATGATAGATAAGTTATGAGATAAGTGATTTATTTATTTATAATCGCTTTGCAACTGAAAAATTGAATTACAAGATAGTTACATTGGATGATATCAATGATAATTAAAAAGAGCTATCTGTGGGTTTTAAAGCAAGTTTGTATTAAAACACTTGTTTGTATATCTGTTTCGTTTGTAAATAAAATATGTCGATTAAATGTAAAATTCCGGCAAAATAGTTTAGGCCTTAAGGGTATGAAAAGTGATAAAACTGTTACGAAATCTTTTGGTCTTGAACACGGCTTAAACTTCCGTTTGTTCTAAGGTTCAAAGTGATTGTGTTACGAGCAGGAAGAAGGTCATGGAGCATGTTCTGTTCGCTATGTTCCAGTGAGTAGTTTAAAACACCGCCATTTTCTGAAACACTCCTTTATTTATTTTTTTTTCTTTACATTTTAACAGAGAGCGACACTCCTACTTTAAAGAATGGATGAATCTGTTTGACTGGTTAGGCCTGGTGTTGATCTTGTGTATAATACCTTTACGGTACACTGATAACAAAGCACAGTGGAAGGTGGCTTCTTTGGCTTTCTTGTTCAACTTCCTTAGGATATTTAAATTTTCTTGTGTAACAAGGTAAGTAAGCCTCTTTGTTTCTCAGATTCTATTCGATTGAAGTCAATTTCGAGCAATTTTCAGTTGAGTGTTGAAATTAATCTGGAATTGCTTTTTTTTTACTCTTCTCTGTGATTGGTCAAAAAAAAAATCGCACCACGTTCTCCGTCAATCGAAGGCAAGATTAAAACCAAGTGCTACTGGGTAACTCGCGCTTTCCCGCGTTTGAAGTTCAGCCACTAATCGCGTCTTTGGTCTGAGTTCCTATTAGCGGAGCTCGCAGACCGTAGCCCCATAATTATACAAAACAATAATAACCCATCAAGCCGAAAAAATTTGGAGTGTACGACCCTACGACCGTACGACAAGGTGCTACTTTTAACATACGTGGTCAACTGTACCGCGGGCACGCCAACGCCACGGCTTTGTCCAGTAGTCCAATGGTCAGTGCACTGGGCTCCGAGTCGGACGACCCGGGTTCGTTGTGCCCTTGAGACGTGCGGGAAAAAAAATGCGAACTCCGCTTTTAGGCTTAGCTAAATCTATATATTACGATATCTTTCTTCGTTCCGTTTGGCCGCTGTGATAAATGTGGTGTTGATTTAACAACATTCACTTCTGGCAGTAAATATGTCAAAATGCAGCTTTGATTTAGCTCAGGATTTTGATCCAACCCAATCTTTTATCTTTTTCCAGGACCACAGGGTTGTACACAAAGACTTTGGCCAAGATTATTCAGCGAGACGTGACGAGATTTATGGCAGTTTTTGTCGTGGTATTTCTTTCCTTCTGTGGAGCGTTGTTTTTGTCTGTGCAGTCTTCCAAGCAAAATCAACAATTCAGGTGCGTGTTAATTGTGTGCTTTCGTTTCCCTTAAAAATTAAAAGAGTAGGTGATTTTTTTCTTGCATTTTACAGGGGTTTTGAAGACGTCTTGTTGAGCGGATTTCGTGCACTTTCAGAACAGCAACCGATTGCAGAAGATTACTCGACTTTCAAGTAAGTGACACAGACTTTTAACTTCTCCTAACAAAACAAACAATGAAGACATGCGAAATAACTTTCAACGCGGTGAAGAAAATTATAAACAATACTTTGGTGGCACAGAAAATATCAAAATGGAAGAAAATTTGGAGGCCTAAGGATGGAGACGATTGAAACGGATTGAAAATGAGTGCAAAATTTTTGCTCACGCGTTTGGCTTATTTATGCCTTGATTGTCAAATAACTCAACTATTCTTCACTTTTTTTTTTTTTTGCAGCTGGCTGTCGATTCTGTTGATGTTATCGTACATGGGAACAGTGATTGTGATTCTGCTCAACATTCTCATTGCCCAGATGAGTACGACCTACACACAGGCCAAGAAAGTCGCTCGTCTGGAATATGATGTGGATCGTATTTCACTGCTCACTCGCATGGAGAGATTTCCTTTTCTGGTAAGTAAGTGACAGCGCACGGAGATCGAGTTTTGAAATGTTTTAAGCCAGGAAGATTGTTCACCTTCCTGTTCCCTTGTTTTTTGAGTGCGAGAGTGCACACGAGTGTGTATAGTCCTAGTAAAAACAGGCTTAAGTTTTTTCTGTTACATGCTCAATGTACATTATGCAAAGGAAGTCCCCTCCCAGAGACGGGGTTTGAGGCAACGAAACAGCGCTGTTGGTATTTTATCTCACAATGACTTTTTCCTCTGCAGAATCTGCGCGTAAAGCATTACAAAGAGGGAGACTGGATCAGTGAAATGAAACTCGCTAAAGGTTTGGAATAAATTAAAACTGCTGTGAGCGATGTTTAAATTGAATCCGGAAAGTAAGACAGGTTTTCCTTGGTCGTTCTTTGTTGGCAACCAAAAAAAAAAAAAAATTGGACCATCCTCTCATACACAAACTACTGAAAACATTTCAGCAAGTACTGACACAATAAATCCCCTTCCAAAGGACCCAGCGTCGCTTACTTTGGCTTGCTTTAGCTTGCTTTGGCTTGCTTTAGCTTGCTTTGTACTTAGAAGTTCTGGAATTTTGTTAAGCGAATGTTTCGGTTTTTTCTAGAATTGCTAGAATTCACTGAAGATCGTCATCACTGGGAGTCAGTGGAAGAGAAGCTTGATGCGATCAGGTAAATGTTGTGATTTTATTTCCTGTCTTCGTTTCACTTATTTGGCTACCCACTCATGCGCCCACAAACCTCCCAGACACCCAAACCACTATTCAAACAGATTGTTCAGAATCCGCCCATACCCTCATCCAGCCAGAAAGTCACTCACCTACCTTGACACCCACTAAACCAACCATCCGGCCATCCGCAGAGTGAAAGACCTGGCCATCTACCTAGCCAACATTTTTATATATTCAGACACCTTCTTGTGCAGCCAGACACCCACTCACCCAACTGGACAGTTATTCACTAACTCTTAGTCATTCTCTTACCTACATCAGACACCCACCCTTCTACCCAAACACATACTCATCCATCCAGACACACAATCATGCACACTCAAACTCACACATGCATCTTTCTCGGTACTTGCTGACTCTTTAACCAACATTTTTATCTATTCAGACACCTTCTTGTGCAGCCAGACACCCACTCGCCCAACTGGACAGTTATTCACTAACTCTTAGTCATCCTCTTACCTACATCAGACACCCACCCATCTACCCAAACACATACTCATCCATCCAGACACACAATCATGCACACTCAAACTCACACATGCATCTTTCTTGGTACTTGCTGACTCTTTCACCAAGGCAACGGTCATCCATCTACCCGGACACCCACTAACTTACTCAGATACATCTTAAGATCTCCTGATTGTTTTTCTTTTCAGGGATATGATGAGAAAGATGGTCAAGCAGATGAGGCCTGATAGAGAACAGAGGGCTGTCAGTCGAGATATCTCTGAGTGAAATCTTCCGTAACGCTTTCAGTTCAATGTATAAAGTAACGTTTTACGTCGAACGCTATTAGACGTGAAAATACGGAGTCATAAATGATAGCCAGAGTTGTTTTTGCTTGATTTATAATACACATATCAAAGGAAACAAAACGAACTATTACAGTAAAGTCAAACAAACGAACTTTGAGGAACTTGTAAAGCACATATTTATAATCTCAGAACATAGATGTATTTTAAATTTTATTTGCATATCTATACAAAGAGCACTGCTAGTAATAATAAACTGGTATATTGCATCTTAATTTATATTTAGTGAATATATTTTATAACTTATCTACCATGGTATGTATCCAGAAAAGTTAAATTGTCTAACAGGTTGTCACATATACATATATCGAGGTACCTAAAAATACTGGAAGGGAGTAATATAAATATGATTTAAGTTGTTTCTATTATCATTATTATTATTATTTTATCATTATTATTTTATTATTATTATCATTATTATAATTATTGTTAGTATTATTTGCAACTATTTAATAAATATTGTAAGGAAAGACCGCAGACTGCCATATGTTGTTTAGAATGCTTAGGTGACGGGTTCGGATGCGTCCTTGTCATTTCTTTCCACGTCGCGAAGGTGTTCTCGGAATCGGTCACCCAGTCGTCTTCCTGTTCGCCGATGTATAGCTTATTGCAATAAGTGCAAGTTATGCAGTCAATAACATTGGCGGAGGTACACGTAAAGTGATCACTTGGGTCCCGATATTTTCTCTACGTTATGAATGAAAGAACAAGTTTTGCATCGTGAGCGAGCGCATTTGAAAGTTCTAGATTGATCATTGGTTTGAAATGAACTCCTGACTAAAAAGTTGCCTATATTTTTGTCACGTTTGAATGAAATAAGTGGGGGTTGTGAGAAGATAGTGCCAGTCTCTGAATCGTTTTGGAGTAATTTGAAATTTTTAAGAACAATAGATTTAACTGCGCGGTTGTGAGGGTGAAATGTAAGAGTAAATGGAATGCGGTCCTTCGCCGCGTTCAATTGAAAGCCTTTTTTCATGACAAAGAGGATGATTCTAGCATCTCGAGCAAAGATATTTTCGAAACACTTCAGATTCGAAAGTCTAAATGGACTCCCCCAAAGGGTCAGTTCGCATCTTTAGATTTTTTCATCAAAAAATGTCGCTACGCTATCAACAAACTTAAATTCAATCGTAACACCAAATTTTCCAATCTATCTTCGGAAGAGTGGTCGGCACTAAAAAGTCTAAAAAAAAAACGCAAAGATATAGTCATTAAAGCGGCCGACAAAGGCGGCGCAGTTGTTGTTTGGCGGGCTGACCTCTACTAAAAAGAAACTTCGCGGCAACTTTCCGACACCTCCTTTTATGCTAAAGTCGACAAAGATCTCACTTTAATTAACCAAAACATTGTCAAAAATACGATTAACGATCTTCTAGCTAAACAAGAATTGCCGGCCACCGCTAAAAATCTCACCATCACCACTCCTAGAACTTCGTGTGCGTACTTTTTACCTTAAATCCACAAACCTAACAGCCCAGGTCAACCTACTTAGACAAAATTATGGCACCTATTATCAAAACTTTACCGTCTTACATTAAGGACAGCCAACACGCACTTGAAATTTTTCGTGACTTTAGTTTCCTAGGCCAAAACAAACATATTTTCAGTATGGATATAACATCTCTTTACACTGTCATTCCCAATAACGAAGGTCTCCGGGCCCTCAAACATTTTTTCGATCATGGCACTGTTAAGGAACCTAGCTCTGAAACACTACTCCGTCTGGCCGAACTAGTACTCACACTCAGTTGCTTTTCATTCGGTAGTAACTATTACAAACAAACTAATGGCGTGGCCATGGGCACTAAAATGGGACCCAGCTACGCCAATCTTTTCGTAGGTTTTATCGAACATCAATTCTTGAGTCAATACCACGGCTTAAAACCTGAACTCTACGTCCGTTACATTGACGATTGTATCCGTGCTACCTCCTCTACCAGAGAGGAGCTCACTCAATTTATAACCGCCGTCAATTCCTTCCATCCGGCTCTTAAATATACCTGGGAAATTTCCGACACTTCTTTGGCTTTTCTAGACATCAAAATTTCAATGTGCTGTTAAAACAAATTTTTGTAGCCAGGGCGTTTTGCTAATGAAGACAAAACCTTGTTTACACGTTTATAATATCCATTTTGAAATCAACGGTGATCCTTGAAATCTATTTGGCACTCATTGGTGACACTTAATTCGCGTATAGCATTTTTTTTTGCTCTAAATCGTATCTTTTCCCAGCAAATCAGAAATCTTTACTACAATACCACAATCAATCAAATTTCAAGAGTGGTTTACAGAAACCAATAATATAAGAGGAAAATGAAAGACATCTGTTGCAACTTCTTACCAACTAGCTAAGCAAAGTATTACAGGAAACGCGCTCGTTCAACCTGACACTCAAAACTGTTGCAGCGCGAATTGAATCAATTGTTGACATGAAACAAATTTCAAACAAGCAAAACGTTGCGCAAGGCTGTTTAAATTTGACAACAAATTCGGTTTCACGATTCCGCTTACGAGAAAAGCTGAATGCTTCGTAATAACTACAAGAAAATAACGATTTTCAAGATGTAGAATGACAGTATTAAACGGCAGCTGTGAACAGACTTGAATGCGTACTTTTACTATAACAACTAACGATTCACTAGAGAAATAAATTAACAAGGAAAATACATAAAATCCAACATTGTTTTATACAGAATTTTTTTGGAAAAAAATCGGCCAAAATAAAGTTTCAAAATAGACAGTATACGATTACTTAAAACAACGCAGAAAGCAATTGGCGCAAATAAAAATAAAAGGATGTCAAATAAAACTTACATCAATGTTGTAATCTCAATAATTTGGCAATTTAATAAATTTTTTTAAATTTTCTTATTTCAAGGAGGATCCTCCAAAACTTACACGAAGGAACGATAATGAACAACAAGGCAAAAATTAAACAAATCATATTTATAGATACTGTTATCACTAACTTCCTTAAAAACTCGCTAAATACAGTCTACAAGCAATCGAGTTATGCGACCCGGGTCGTTAATATATTGATATATTTTATATTAAATTAATATTAAAAATGGAGTTGAACTATTTTTTTCTATGGAATAGGACTCCCATGGCGTTTAAAACATTCTGTTTGACAAGTTATACTTTTTGTCCTCAGTTGACGGTTTATAGTAACGACCTGGGTCAGTAGGTTGTTAGGGCAACGAGGATGTTGATGATGACGGTGAAAATTTTCAGATCGGTGATTGTAAATGGTTTATATTTTCTTTATTATGATTGTTTTTTAATGCTTTTTATTTGGTTTGTTTTAGAAAAGAAGAATTTGATCGCAAAGGGCAAGAAAGAAGTCTAAAAGTAACAGTCAACGAAGCATTCTATTAGTCTCACATCTTTGTCCATAGTCGAAGGAATTATTATACGATCATTTCCTAGCTTATGATCAACATGAATTTACTGATTTATTTATTTAAGGATTTGTACAAACAGTACCGGAGCAAAAACATTTGGACATTAGTCCCCTGCTATGTTTAAGCTCATGCAAGGTTGTGTCCGAGTTTTGCTCTTCATGGATAGCTTAAAATGTGCACATAAAGTTTTAGTAGTCTCCAAACATGAATTTCGAGAGAAATTGGAATTTTCTTTGGATGGAATGCCTTTCCTTAAAAAAGCATAGACAGAAGTTGAACTTAGCCTGTTGTGGTTACATACATAGTCTAACTTTTGAAATTTCAGTGACTGCTTTTTTTCGTATTGATTATGGAAATTGAATGCATTGTTTGTCAAAATTCTTGCTACTTGAACCTTGTTTGATAAAAGTGAAAAAACGAAAGTTATTTTTGTGCAGCTTTAGAGAAGTCAACCCTCATTGTAAGTTGAACAGTCCCACGTGCATACCGAGAAGAGGCAGACCAGAAAAGTTAGATGTTTTAGTCTAAGTTTTAACTGGTACCGATGATGCAATTTTTTTGTCAAGATTCTTGCTACTTGAATAACTTAAAATGAGGAAAAGTTTTGAAGGTTTCATCGGCCAACTGTAAAAAGAGTCGACTCTGAGTTTAAGTACTAGTCTTAGCCTCGCATACAGATCGAGAGAGACATCCAAAAAGCTGAACATTTTAGTTTAAGGTTTAACTGGGGTCAAGAATATAAGAAACAGATACTATTCATATTTACCGTTGAGTTATTTTGCAGGAAAACTGATTCTTTGGATAATATACTTTTATTGTACATGAGCATCATAGATGAAATGTATAACTGATTTGTTTTGTTCTTTTTTTTTTTTGAAAAAAATTAAAGCAGAATTCCCGAGTAGGTTAACTGAGTTTTCTTTCTTCTTCGACTAGCGCTTTAGTCCCCTTTATACGGATCCTCCCTTCGTTCCACTGAAAACCATGTGACCCCCCCCCCCCCTCAAAAAAAAAAAAAAATCGACATAAGATGAACGATAAACCTACGAGATATAAATGCTGATTGCTCCTTCTTAAAAACCCATTCGATTGAAACTGAAGTGACGTTTTTTACACGAACTTCTCAGTAGTATCACTTTGACCAGATTTGTTAGTTTTTCAAAATGTACTCAGTATTATCGACATGTAAACTTAGATATAAATGCTGATTGTCGAAAACGTGGCTAAAAAACTGTGTTTTCCTTTCGTCCAGGAAATATGCAATGATAGAGAAGAATACATTTAGATAGCAATTAACTGTTCACTCCGACATTGCAGAACTGAGCGTTTCAAGAGAAATACTATGAATAGATGTATGAATCACATAAGTTATCAGCTTGTAGTATCTTGTGGTATCGTTTGAGTATTTTTTCACCATATTATCAGTAATAGTAAAGCTTTAGTAAAGCCTGATTCGAACTGTGCATGTTCAAGATAATTATGCAAACCCGAGATGCAGTCAAGAGTCAGATTCTTTCAACCCCCTTTTTGCCAGAATAGGCAATGCTAACACAGGAAATTTTATCTAGTATACGCATAGATCAAGAAGGAAAAACGATGGTTGAGGACGAGGAAGATTGAAACGGATTGTAAATGACACACTCGAACGACGGTTTTTTTTCTTTTTAAATATGATCAGGCCGTAGTGTAGTACTTGAACCCAGACATAACGCTTTTGCCCCCTAGATGGGGGTAAAACTCGTATTGTGTCGAAATTAGCATGACAAGAGAGCTAAACAAAGCTTCTAAGCGGGTTAATTAAAGAAGGAAAAATAAGTTTAAACATTTTCACACTAATTTTTGCTTCTCTCCATTTATGAACTAATTGGAAGAAAAAGAAAGAAAATAAGAACTTTTTCGCTGTCGATAAATGTGTATAGGGCGACCACACCCATTCCAGAGCTAAATTTTAAAGCATCATTTTGCTTGAAATGGGGTTGAAATTAGGAAAGAGTCGATAGTTTCTATCAATTTGACTTTGATTTAGTTCAAAACAAGTAGAAATGCGACATTTTGAAATATTTTAAGAGAGAATGGAAGAGATGGTTTCAGCGCGTTGTAACGCGACTTTCAGAAAACCAACCGCTGGCCTTTGGGATCACGCTCCTAAGTCACAGGTTTTCAAATCAAAATTCACGTGACGTGTCAAGATATTAATAGCCCTGATTATGCTTCACATTCCTAAACATAACACGCAAGCACTTTCACTTTCTTCGCAATTTGTCGTGTTTTACAACTTTCGATTTTCGTTCCCAAGCTAGCACAGTGTTAGAGGAAATCTTAGACACAATTCTGCTCCGCTGTCATCGTCATTTGGTGAGTAAAATAGTTCTGATATTCGTAAAACCCGTTTTGTTTACGGTATTATAAACGTTTTGAGTACATTCGCATGTTCAAAGTTGCTGTGCATTTCGTTGGTTTCTGGCGACATCTTATGACTTTCACGCGCTCTGGAACAATTTTTGAACTAACCTTACCCCAGTTCTTCCCTTAAATCGAAAGCTGTTGCATTTCATCATGATTTATTGGTTGTGGGAAGCAGTTCAGATTTGATATTATGTTGATCGGCTTTTGTTTTGTTGCCATTTCAATGCCAAATTTGAGTTCATGTTATTTCATCGAACAACCGCGCTCATCGTTAGGCCATAAGTACTCATTCAAAGAATTTATGATTTTCAAGGATTTTTTTACATCTGTTGTAAGAAAATTACTCGATTTGTGATTAAACAGAAAAAGTAAAGGGCAATGATTTTATAATTACATCGTTACAGTCACGCTCTCCAAATTAGGCTGGTCAGGGTTACAAAGTTGACAGGGTGTGATACCTAAGTTTCTCTATGTTACCTGTAAGTAGAATCTCAGTTATTATTTTTTTTGCCAAAATTAACGTTTAAAACAAAGGTTTTTCGCAGATAGAGGACACTATTTTCTCTTTTTTCCCTGATATTTCTCTTTTTGTTGCGTGACTTTTGGCTGATACCATCGAAGATAAATTTTGAGTGTAGTTCCTAGCGTGACTTAGCGTGACGTGTCTTACCTGCTGTTTACATTGGCCAATGAGAAGCATTTTAATTGTTACAGACACTCGCGTGAGGTACAGTGTCCTGTAAATGTACGTGAGAATTTATCAGAGGGTTTGAATATAACTTTCGAAGGAAACGTAACATTTTGAATCACGAAACAATAATTATGTTTGTTGCCAATTTTTCTGGTTTTTACTTTCGAAACCTCTAGTGCAGTATTCAAAATTCAGCCCTCTTGTAAATATCTTCTTTAAAATCGTTTTAAAATTTAAATAACATGTTCTCTTTCCGGTATTTAGACATGATTTGGAATTGAACAGCGATTAAACCATGCCTTTCTAAGACTCGTATCAAAAGGACGCGTTTAGGTTTGTGGATGGCTTATCAAAATTTTACTTAATATTTTTACCCAATATTTCTGTTTCTCTTTTTTAAAATTGATAGATATCAGGAGTATCATGTAAATAGACAAAGAAATGAACGAGATGATGCTCTCAAGATATCAGAATTAAAGAATCACTCCGAAAAAAACAAAATTAAATCTTGGAATCGCTAGGTATTTCAAAACAAACATCTGATATTCTTTAAAAAGTTTAGAGAAGCTTTCAGGGGAAATTCTGTTAAAATTTCTGACTGCCGGGCATTTAGTCTATTTTCAGGAGACCGTGCCCGACTGCCGGGCATTTACCCACAGCAACATAGAAGAATCATTCCAGTTCTCTTGAAGTGTGTTAATTATTAATTCATACAGAGCAGGTGTATTTTGATTATTTTGCCTTTTTACGGTCCGATAATAAATTCAGTGTCGTTTTTGGTAATTTTTGCATATTATTACACATAATTAGATGTAATTTTCATCGCGAGAAGTTTTAGTAGTCTCGTTTTAAAGAGCTGTATCTTCTTGGTGGCTACCGAAATTTATCATTTTGATGGGTTGTTTTCTTTTTCTCGACTCAGAATCTCAGCAATGGGTAGCGCAACATCAAAGGCAAAGAAAAACAGTCAAAAGGAAACAGATCCACAGCGCCACCCGCCGTCTTCACGAGGTAAAACTCTGAGCGACACAAAGAAAATCCTTCTTCTTCACAAATCGGGCGAAGAGCAGCTCAAAGTCGTGAAGAATTTCCGCGACGCTTTGACTATAGCAGCGAATGGCGGCATTCGCGTGATAAATTCTGTCAACATCGATGAAGGAACAGATAATTTCGAAGGGCTTCCCTGGCTTGAACTGGAATTAAACAACGTTATTTTAATCTGCCTAACGTCAGAGGCCATCGTCCAGTTGGAAACTATACTTCGTGAGAAGCGGCTGGCAGATGAAAACGGCCACCTTCATGGAAAAGTTTTCAGCGTTTCGTTTGGGGAAAACATGTCTTCTGAATGGCCACCGAAGGGGATCAAACGAAGTACACTTAATGCCCGAGATTTCTACTTCGGGTTCGCAAACGTGGAAAAGTTACTGACGAAAGATTTTGAAAAATCGGAAAAAATGAATGCTCTTGTCGCCGCGATCAAAGGAACAGATTAGGACAGAACTGATTCCCTTCGAAAGGAATTTGTTTCTGTAAGTATTTTTAAAGTCCTGAATACCTCGTATAAAATTAGAAATGATCTTTACCTTCAAAAGGTGTCGGCTACAGCTTCTGAACTATGGTCGCGGAACAGAAATACGTGATTAGTTACATTTTTACAACGAACTAAGATTTAGCGTAGATTCAAGAGGTTTCGCGTTTACGAATGATTGTAAAAGACAGCCTGGATTTTCGCCTAGTGTTTTGTTATTTACGAGTTTTATTAGATTTTGATAAATGCTTCCCTTTTTTATGCGTTGTCAGTTCAGAAAATTTTTTAGTGATTTTTACAAAATTCTTTGTATTCGTTAACCTAGGTATAGAGATCATCTGATTTAAATTTATGTCACCGAGTTTTGCAATAAACCAATGTTGAAGAGGATATTCTCAGTTCTGCTTTATATTCATTATAAATATATTAAATATGCGTTTTCCTTGTTGGGATTTTGTGTTCCAAATAACAATTTAGAAATATTTGCTTATTTGGATGTAAAAATACTAGTACGTAAGGTCTTTCTACGCGGTAAATAAGATGCATTGTTGCCGGAAGTTAGTGCAGCTTCCGGTCACAGTGATTGTAACCAATCACAGAGCAGGAGGTTTTTCAAGCGTGCATAGTGTGATTCGGGTGTGTGGAATTGTTTAATATAGCCGATGGAATTCCGTCGCTTTGGACATAAATTCAACTGAATCCAGCATGGAAAACTCAGACAACAACTATACAGCTGTTCCGATGGAACAAAGGCGACCTAACAGCGATCACAAAGAACATGCCTTGGAAAAACCTTTTGACGAAGAGTTCTGGGTGAAGGTGAGTGGCACGCTTTCGCTTTTATCCATGCAGTTTGTTTTGATTACTAAAACATAATTTCTTGATCTTCATAAACACTATTTTCATGGGCTTGCTGTTTGTATTTACTCTAAACCTCATAATAGATCATGTAAACACAAATAAGTTGCGTTTGTCAACTAAAGGATCGTGTTATTTATTCCTAAGTTGAATCTTATCGCAAGCATGTTATATTTAATATAACAATCGTAGGATTGAATGAAAGCTAATATACCATAGCATTCCTTTTGAGCTAGATGGTTTGGTTACAGTTTATTCTTGGACATACGCTGTGTGATTAACGAACCTCTTTGTTTTTCTCGTTTGAAATTTGGCTAATAAACGTACAGCGTTGAAAAGCATACAATCCTTGATTTTTCGAATATAAATGTCAACTGTCACTTAACTTTTCATTCGCGTTCGATGTTTCTGACATGAACTGCCTTTGAATCACTTATAAAGGCAGTGAAGTCTGTTGTAATTGTTGATAATGCCTTCTCTTGGAAGATATCAAGGAATAACTCAATTGTGATGACTGCTGTCATCCTTTCTTCCTTTCTTTTAACTCATTAACTTCCATAAGTGATCAGTACAGAAATTCTCTTTACAATATCAATACAACATCAAGCCAACAAGTGATGGGAATAAAGCAAAATATCAGTCAGGGGTTAAATAGTTGATCCAATACCAAATTCTCACAACTAACATCACAAGAATTGTATGACAAACAGTAAGGAGGAATTTGCTTCTGAGATCTTGGAGAGGAAGTGCTCAGAGTGGAGTGATCTGTACCTCACTTATCTTAGATGACTCTTAAGCCAAGACACAAAACAGCTATAAAAGCTTGTGCAACAGGTTTCTCTGGCAAAGCATATGATATACAAGTATACTGTATACAAAACAAGTCATAATTTGGAGATCATATTATTGCTGTGCATGCAGCACCATTTGCAAACTGTATGGTTCCAATATATCCAATTTGCTCTTACTCTGTAAGTAGCAATACTGTTGTTGTTAACTCTTCAACCTGTAATAGTGACTAGTATCTTATTTTTCCTTACAATATCAGCCCCAAATCATATATTAAGTAAACCCTTAAGCCCCTAAGAGTGACCAGCATCTAATTTCTCCTTACAATATCACCCCTGAATCAAACCTAAAAGTCGTGAGAATAGAGAAGATGATCACCATAAAGCACCTCTTGATTGTAAAACAATTTCTCCTTGTCAGCCTCTTTGGAAATGTGTAGAGAACAGTATGGAGTTTATGCATACTGATGTTTGGGTGTAAAGGATTAAGGTCACAAGAACAAAGGAAATCTGCTCCGATGCATTTTTTTTCTTTCTCAAAATTGTGAATCTTACCAGACTAGGTTTGCTTTGCACATCTCTCTTCTCCAGAGCACACATGTAGTAAGTGAACAGATCTGACCTTTGAAAATATTTTAACTATAAGGTACAAGAAAAGTTTAATGCAGGAGATGTGTCATGGAATAGAGCCATGGATGAAGTTCGCACTGACAGACTGATAGCCGTACATGGTAGAAACACCCTCTTGGTGATCATTCGTGATTGGCCAATCAGTGAAAAGTATAGAGATAAACCAGAACTGATAGCAAGTCTTGAATACCTGGTATGTATTGACAAAGTTTGCGATGGTAGTATTGATTCATTTGGTATGGGTTGTATTTACAATGTATCTATGGTGTGGTAAAGACATCTTGCTTGCCAAAACCCCTAAAATGTCAGATTTTGTGTGGCTTTCATTGGCATAAAGCTACAACTAGTATTGTTACTCCCCACCTCCTCCTCCTGTATGGGATGCTGGCCCATGGAAGGCTCAACCTTCCAGAATTTTGTCAGGTATCTCTGGTGCAGTAGTTTGCCAGCAATCATTTGTTTTCCTAAACAGAGAGAGACACCCCCTGAGGGTAAATTGTCCTTCTCAAGAACACAACACATTATTATGCAGGGTGGACTCTGATCAAGACTTTTCAAAATTGATTGCAGTGAATGACAATGTATTAGGCAAGATATAATCACTTTAACCCTCTGATCCCCTAAGAGTGATTAGCATCCAATTTCTTTCAACAGTATCACCCCTGAATCAAACATTAAGGTCACATGAAAAAGAAAATGATAACCAACTGAAGAGGCTCTTGATTGTTAAACAAATTCTCCTTGCCAGCACTTGAGGAAATGTATAGAGAACATTATGGAGAATATGCATACTGATGTTAGGGTGTGAAGGGTTATGGGGCTCAGGCTTGACCCAAATTGGAGTGTTCCACTTTGGTTGGTAAGACAACATGCCAGATCACAAAGAAAAACCAACAGTTTTGCTTTTTTTCTCTTGTGAAAGTCAGCAATCAGAATCACCACAAGAATTGATAAAGATATCCTTAACTGTCTTACATGTACTTCCTTTTTCACAGATCAGCCGTTTTACTGAAATTATTTTAGACAAAGACAATGACGAAGAGTACAAGTATTTCCGTGTGGATGAAGACTTTGCTCGTCCAACTCTGCTTCACCTGGCTGCAGAACAGAATTTTCTTCATGTGACCAAGTTGCTTGTTGAAAAGTACCCTTCACTTGTTTACCTAGAAACAGAGGAAGTGGCTGGTGAAAGGCCATATTTACCTGTTGAAAAAGCTCTGATGTCACACAAGGATGAAACAGCGGCCTATCTGATATCACAGATGAAACATGACTGGTCAGTACAGGAACCCTGTTGACTTACAGTGTTCTGATTTGGGATAAAAGTATAGGAAAAATGGTTTGATCTTTGTGATATTGTTTGGAATTTTTTCTTCCATAATATTAATATTATAATATGATATCTTTTCATTGTACTGGTGGGAGAAATTTGATTTAATTGATATTCACTTATTGATAGTTTTTAACTATGAATTTGCTTTCATTGAATTTTCAACATTTTTAGAAAGGTAGTGAATTATCCACAGTATTTCAACTTGACAAGATTCTTTTTTCAAAAATAAAGGATAATAAGATAAGATTTCATTCTCAGAAAAAGTAATTAAAAAAAAAACTCTGACATTATAATGTTAAAATTTCAAGTTGTACTATTTTTTGTCATCATTTGATGGCTAGATTTTTTTTGCAGGCTGTAAATGGCTAATGCCCTGATTTGGATGAATAATTGTGCTGTGTTGTTCTTGAGGAAAGTATTTTGTTTTTATTTTCCAGGGTCCATGAACTGTTTTTGTATGACAATGACATGAGGTTGAAGAGAGCCAAATTTAAATTTACGGAGATCATCAGCCACAGAGATCCAGAAACAAAGAAACTGGACATGCAGGTATAAAAGACTATTTATAAGAAAATTAATGTTATGTTTCCTTGCCTTACCACCTCTCCAAAAACTCCAGGAAATACATTGTTTAGTGGGGTTATTTTGAAACAGTAGGTGACAGCTGCACATTTAGATCTTCACTAGAGACAAATACTCTTCCCCTCCTCTACTGAAATAGCATAAAGAGCAACCTCCCCTCCCCAATGGAATGCTAGTCCAATTCAGTTACATCTCCACCCCTCCCTCCCATGATTCTATCAGGTTTCCTCTATTCTTCATTTGGGACCTGTTAAATATCCTGGATGGAATAAGAAAGAAAATTAGCAATGAGTGACAGAGGTGAAAATGTGCAAGCAAAGTGTCTTGTCCAAGAACACCAGCAGGAGAATTAGACTATTTTCTTTAAATTTTCCCACCAGAAAACAGTTGTGGCTGTATTAGATCAGCTTGTCAACCCTCACTGGCCATACCTTCCAGAGAAGATAAAGGAGACAGGAGAGAAAAGTGATCGTATTGAAAGGGCATGGAGCAGTGTTCCTGATGATCCATTAAATTATGATTTTTTCTATCATGTGCTGGAAGCTGATGACCTGGGACAGGAACCAAAGGATGATGAAGGGAACTTGATTGAGGAGTTTAATCCAAAGTCTATGTCCCCCCTTCGATGTATTGCAGAAAGTGATGATAAGGTACCTAAAAAACTATTCATACTATGAAACATGCTGTGTGCTTTTCGTGGCTGTAGGTCAACACAATGTTGAGTGCAATTTGTTGCAATTTGTGGTCACAGTAAATTTTTATCAATTTCGCCCCCCCCCCCCCCCCCACCCCTCCTCCCCTGCCTTGAACCCAAACCCCAAAAAGGAGGAGCAGCCTTTTGGAGGCTCTCGCTTTATGGAAGTGACTTATTTTCACTCACTAATAGCCTAGCTTGGGTTAAGAGAGTGGATAGGTAACGTATTCCGTTTTCCAGAGTTAGTTCCCAATTCTTCAACTTGCAGCTACATGTACACTGTAGCAAGTGATACAAACTAGAATACTGAGGCAGCTTGCTCGTAGTTTGTTGAGCAATATGGGTAACGGTCACTTTGAAGGCCTCTGTCTAAGCTTATGTTTCGTTAGAAACAATCTTAAAGTTTCTACATTTTGTTGATAACATCAAAGGAATATTTCAGTGACAGAAAATGGTAAAAACCGATTAAGAATAGGAATTGCAATGGAGGAAACAAGAAATAATTCTTAAAGCACTGAAATATGATAAATTCTACAAGGAGAAATAGGAAGATTGTTTATATAAGAAGAGCGAGACTTGGCAAAATGATATTCTGAAAGGAAGAGGGAAGGAACTGATGCGTTCCTTTCAGAAAAAAAAAAGGGAAGAAAATAATTAATTTTTAGCCCTCGGAGAGACTCGAACTCTCGACCCCTGGTTTACAAGACCAGTGCTCTAACCACTGAGCTACAAAGGCTGAGATGAGGAGAAAATGTCTTTATTTTTGTTGATATATATTTGGTTTCATTCCAAACTAGCCAAAGCAGTTGTTAGGTGACCTACATATTTGTCGCGTCGCTTATAAGACCATAGTAATCGATAAACTTAAACACCATAATTTTTTTTGTGTGTGTTTCTGTACCTCAGTCCTCAGTTTGAAGTTGTGTCTGAGGATATTTAGTGACTGAGACGTTTTAGTGCTTGTGGTTTTATCAAGCTATTTTTATCAGCAGTATACTGTTTTCCTGGGAGGTAAAAATATTCCAGGAAAAAAATCACAGATCTGCTCTGTAAAGTAGCTTACTGCGGTGAGATCTTCAACAAAAATTTAACCAGTTATTGCCATTTGGAATCCTTTTATTAGATTATTGTCATTCCTGAGATGCAACAATTCGCGATGGACAAGCAATCCTTGCAAAATACAACGATTTTGTTCAAATTTAATAGCGAATTTAATGGTACCAGTAATGCGCCAGTTTCGTTGACTTCCGTTCTTACCATCTCAAACCTTGCCAAACCACTCTACTTAACCTCGTTTAACAAAACCAATACAAATACTCTTGCTATCTTTATGTTCTCCCATCTCACCCCTGTTCCATGCTCCATGCGGCTTGACTTTTAGTGGAACTGTACCCGGACTAAGTGCAATTTTTTCAGAAAAAATAATCATAGTACACTTATAGGTGGGCAGTGTGACAATCGTCGGTAACTTAATCGAGAGTGTATTTCGATTGGGCGTCGCGAGAACAAAAGCAAGGCAATCAAAACAGGAAATCAGAACAAAGAAAAAGTTTAAACGAAAGCCAAAAGGAGTTTAAGTCAGAAAAGAGACAGAATAAATATTTAAGCGCGGGAAAACGCGAGCGACCAAATTGTGATGCAGTTCAGTTTTGCATCTTATTGGTCGAGAAGTTGGCGCACGCTTTCCTGATCAATCACAGGGCGGAGCAAGGGAAACTTGCAAAATCCCGCCTTATTTCTGACACTCAGTGGAAAATTGCTCGATATCTTTGAGTTGAGGCCGTTGTTTGGATATAATAGCAATATATATAATATTTAGCAAAGTAACAATGAAGACCGTATTGACATCACTGTTTTTTTTTCTTCATTTTAGGAGGCGATTCAACATCCTGTGGTGCGAATGTTGGTTATGAGGAAATGGAATACGTTTGGTCATTGGTGGTTTTGGTAAGAATTTTGAATTACCGTTCGCTCGATGGATTCGCACGTTTAAGCACAGGTGTCCCAGCCCACGTCTCGATGAAAGCAAACGACTTTTTCCAGAATTAAAATTCATGAAAGCATCATGCATTGTGTGACGCGGTGTTAAGTTACGAGAGGAACCGTTGAGAATTTTAATACGTTATATGGAATAGTAAGGGGAACGAAATATGATCGATTTACAACGATAAATATTTCGAAATATGAACATTTTACACGTAAAATCAACAGAACTTACTCACATCTTGTATGTCCGTTGTGGTTTCTGCCTTTCTCTGCCGTTTAAAGCTTGCTTTGCCATCACTGCTATTCCTTTTATAAGGCGTCTTATACGTTTGCTTTCTCTCGAGACGTGAGCTTGGGACACCTGTGGTTCAAGATGCTGTTGGTCCCGTGAACTTCCCTTTGATCTGATTGTCAATTCTCCCCTTTAGCTGTTACACATTTCCTTGTAAATTAGTTATGAGAATTTGGTGTTAGATCAAGATGACAACTTCAACCTGATAAGTCTGAGTATTCTCATTACCTTTTGCTGGATAATGTATGGATATAATGGGGAGAGGTTACGTGTTAATCACTTCTGGTAGTTACAGGGTCAAGACAAATAGCCTATAAACATAGTTTGGAAAAATCTAAAACCGGTTCTTTTTTCTGAGAAGCTCGAATAATTACGTCTTGCTCGTAACACAAATACGCATTCACTACAGATGTGCTGCAGTAAATGTCACTCCCACGAATGTTATCTTTCTCCATTTCAGCGTTCAAGCGTCTTTCTACATCGTGTTTCTAACACTGTTATCATACGCCCTCATCTACGCTTCCACCCTTGAAGATCCAACACAGTACAGTGGTCGTGCGGACGGTCTGCGTGCGTTCTGTGAAGTTATCACTATTATCTTTCTGATGTTTTATTTCTTCGAAGAGATCAACCAGGCCGAACGGTGAGTCCAGAAAACTCGCAGTTTAGAGTCATTTTCAGCTATCATCCAGGATTTTATGAACTTTTGAACTGAACTTTAGTGCGCTCTTTGGCTGATCCTCTCAACCAATCAAATACAAGAATAAAATCAATTGCGACTTGGACACTGGCGCTATCCTCTCAACCAATCTTCGTGCTGTCCTTTTAACCAATCAGATGCAAGAGTGAAACCAATCGCGACTGCGTTTTCCCGCGCTTCAGACAGTGTGCTTGTTTTCTCGTCGAGTTTTTATCGGCTCCTTGTGTTTTTTTCCTTTGTTATGATTGACTTTTAACTTACTTCGGGTTTGGTTTTGTGACATGCTATACAGCTGTGAACAGAAGTAAGACTAAAGCTATCTTAGTCATTTTCCAATATCTCTTGAATCTTTCAAGCCATTTCACATCGATTGCTCTTTCTGTAAGACCAGGGAAATATGGAAGCTTTTCTTTACGAATCAACAACATTGACAAATTTCTATAGTTTAAAAAAAATCCGTTTGCGAGTGGAAAATTGTCTTAGTCCACACAAACACGTGTAAATGGATGGATGTAAATGGAGCCATTTCATCGGAAGATCGTCTTAACCTACACTGAATTTTAATTTTTTTTCTTCTAGAGAACGGAATCTATTTGGAATAGATTTCAAGGTTGTTAATTGTGTTCTAACAGCCCAAGAGGTTCAAGTAACTGTCAGTTTAACTGCTGTGTTTATTTTCAGGGAGTGGAAAACTTATTTCAAGGATCCGTACAATTATTTTGATTGGTTGGGTCTCATTTTGACCTTCCTTGTGATTCCTCTTCGATTTGCCGAAGTCAGATCTCAGTGGAGTGTGGCAGCCCTCGGTTATCTGTTTAATTTTCTCCGACTTTTCAAGTTTTCGTGCGTTACAAGGTATTCATGATTTGTCAATTTACAATCCTTGTCACAATTGTTAAAATATTTCCCCTTTCCCTTTGTTCATGTTGATAGTGGGACTATAGGACCGCCTGTAGAAAACTCAAACTGGAAGAGGAGTGGAGTGGAGTGTTACAAGGGATCTTTGCGATTAAGGCCTTACTAACCTTTTGCAACTTCATCCGTTCAAACATTTTAATTCTATCTCTTGATGAGTAGAACATGGTGTTCTAAAGATTGTGGAGTACAATGTCTAACTCACAACAAGATGACCTCTATTGGATAATGGAGAGACAAGCATGAGCTTCATGTGATCATTAGTTTTTAAAATGCCCCTTAAGTTGAAAAATGGTCATTTTTGTTAGTCTTATTCTGACTGATTTCATTTTTGGCGAAAATCCATCATGCAGTTCATTGCACCTCAGTTCAAAAGAGAGTGTGAGTGTTTTATTTGTTACAAGTTCTTGTTTGAATTGTCTGCCCATGCCATGCCGTGGATCGAGTTGCATTCACCTACCTTCAACTAAAAGCGCTGGTCTTGAGATTTCCTTTTACTTACTTTTGCTGCTCTATTTTTTTGCTTGTGTTAAATCAATATTTGTTTTTCGTCTAGAACTACTGGTCTGTATACCAAGACTCTTGCCAAGATCATCTACCGTGACATGACTCGTTTCAGTGTGGTGTTTCTGATCGTCTTCATCGGATTTTGTGGCGCCATGTTTATGGCGCTGAAAGCCACAGGCTCGCAAGAGCTCTTTACGTAAGATTCTTTCCTGTGTTGTTTAATATATTTTTTTAACTTTTTTCTCCTGCCTTTTAATCAAGAGCCCAATCCTTTAAATACCGAGAGCTAATGAAAATCGGTGAGAATTAGCGGAAGTCCACGAGAATCCATGAGAAATCACGAGAGTTGCTAAGAGCTTACGAAAATTGGTTCGAAAATATAGCTGCAACGTCAAGAGTTTACGAGGACTTACGAAAATTGACGAGAAGAGTTGAAAGGCCTCCACCGGAACAAAATGAGAGAGTTTACAAGCTCAACAAAAGTCATTTGCGGGCACATGAGATAATAGCTGAAATTATTATTTTCCTCAACGTTCGCAGTAATTACGCCTGGTTGATGTTGGCGGCCGTACGAGCTCTTGTTGAGCAGCAACCGGCTGAAGAAGACTACTCGAAGTTCAGGTAAACGAAGTTTTCGCGTTAATACATGCTCTATCGTTTTTCAGAACGTTAGACTTTGTTGGAAACGTGGTAAATGCATTGCTTGCTTTAGAGAGTGTTGCTTAGGAACCAAACGCAATAGGCGCCGGAGGTATTCGATCGAAAACTTGGTGCTGTTTCCTGGTCATTACACTAACTGCTGTTGGGTGCAGTGTGTCTGGTAACTATAGAGGTGCATGCGCTCTGATTGGTCAAAGATTGCGTCACACGTTGCTTTGATCACATTAGCACTTGTCACGTTAGCTGTCTACGTTATTGACAAAAATCTCGTTGTTGTAATTGTTGCTTTTTTTTTTTGGTTTTTTTTATTTTTGTTTTGTGTTTTCAATTTCCAGCCTCCATTTGTAAGAGGCTCTATTTAGTGTAACACGAAGCATAACGTGTACCCTGTTTCTTTCTTTATTCCAGCTGGTTAGCGATACTCATTCTCCTGGCCTACATGGCGATGGTGATTGTGATTCTGCTCAATGTTCTTATCGCACAGTTGAGTTACACGTACAGTGAAGCCAAAACCAACGCAAAACTGCAGTATGCTATCGATCGAATGCGAATTGTTACGCGCCTGGAGCACAGCAGATTTGCCAGATTTGTAAGTGCCCCAGAATTTTTATCAATTTTTAATTTGCTTTCAGTTGCTTTTTTTCTTTTCATATTATCTTTGTTTGAACATGTGCTCATGTAGAAGTTTTTAAACTTAACCCTTTAACTCCCAAGATCTCATTAGTAATTCTCCTTACTGTCAGCCATATAGTTCTTGTGATGTTAATTTGGAGAATTTTGTATTGGATCAACTAATGATCCTCAAACTGATATTTTTCTTTATTCTCATCACTTGTCTGCTTGATATTGTATTGATATTGTAAGGAGAAATTCTGTCTTGGTCACTCATGATAATGAAAGGGTTAAAAACCTATGGTATCTTTAAACATTGCACTGCGAAAAATTAACCTCAAGGTAAAAGAGAAAACAAAATGTTTTTTTGGTTAGATAGAAAAACACTAAAGAGGCTATGTTTAACCACCAAAGAGAAAGAATGGCAAATGATGGAGAAGATTAAAACAGATTGCATTTGACGAACTTGTAAGATGAAGTTTATATTTTTGAACATACTCAAACCGTGACCAGTGTCATTGAGACATTAAAAACTGCGAGGCGTCTCATCATTACTACTGACCGCTGTGCATGGAAACATCAGTAACTGCAACGACAATATAAATGATTCTAGGAACAAACGAGATTCTTTTCTTTTTTTTGTCTTTCAGAGTTTAAGAGTGAAATACTACAAGCAGGGCGACAGAGTCAGTGAAACAGAACTGGCCAAAGGTTTGCAGCTTTTGCGTTGATATAGAAAGAAAGCAAATCTTCATAACAATTGAAGGACCTTTCGGTATAACTTGTTATTTTGCAACGAGAGAATTGAAATTTCGAAAGCGGAACCGTTCTGCCTAAATTTCTGTTTGTTTTTTACCTCCGTTTAGAGATGCTGGAGTACAGTGATGAAAGACGACCTTGGGAATCAATGGAGGAAAAACTGACTCTTATCAGGTTTGTAATTCATTTTAGTTGTATTCATTTCATCTTCTCTTTACAGCAGCTTGGAGAATTCCATTTGTACTGTCAGGAAAAAAACGCGAATGATTTCCTGAATTTCGTAAGATTTGGTTTAAAATTTGAACCTCTCCAAGTGGATTAACACGGATTTGTACAGAGAAAATTTAAAGCCGAGCGCGATTCTATGCCTGCATTGCCCGTCGAAACATTCCGCTTAAAAAATTATGTCTTCAAAATTTGAGTTTCTGAGGTGTAATAAACCCCATTTGATCAGCTCAACCATAAGCCCAAAGGTTTCTGAATGAGCTTGTTAATGGATAAACATCTGCGGTATTAAAAATGTTCTTGGTTGTACTTTGGACAAACCGCTTCGTCAAATGGAATTTTGAAACACGTTTATTTCCAACGTTTATGAGTCAGCCCTTCATGACGGACTTTTAAGAATAGCTTACAAGTTTACTCCCTAAGTTCTATCTTTCCGCCATTTTTTCTTTCGCAGAGACCTGATGAGAAAGGTCGTGCGAAAAGTTTCCGAAAAATCGGAATGAAGGTGGCATCGTCAAATCCTATTTGTTATCTATTTAGCTAAGAATATTATTTTATTTTTCCTAGGATTTTTGTAAAGAAGTTAAATATTTCTTTTGTTGAAGATAACTTTGTTATAGCTCACGGTGTAAATGTTTTGTAACAATGTTAGTCTTAGTTCCAAGTTCTATTTTCTTTTCTGGTACAAAAAAGAAAAAGTGGGCAACATTTTATGAGTACAGTCCAACGTTAGAATTTTAACGCCCCTGGAAACGAATTTGTTAGTTAGCGCATTTGTCTTGAGAAATAGGAAAGAAATGTAAAATTTAAAACAAATCCCCGCGAGTTAACACTAGAAAAAAATCGTCTTTAGCGCTAAAAAAAATAGCTCTTTGGATAAGGAAGTTCGATCTTGAATATTTTGGTAATTTTCAAAACTCTCTCAACATCGCCTCTAACTTCTGCAGGTCTAAGATCAAAAGCGATCTCGTTTGGAGACTGAAATAGTATTTCAAGCATAAGTATGAACTACATTTTATTAATATGTTTCCTTTTTACAGTTATTGAATTACTTTTAGAGAGGTAACCTATGTGATGATTTGGTGTTGACCTCTTTAGAAATATTAAGGTATTGATATTTGCGTCAACTATGAGGTAGCCGTTACCTAGTGCTCAAGCAGAAGATTTTTCTCAATAGGGGAGGTATGAGTGTGGTGGGAGGGTTCCACACTTGTGTCTTGCTGATATTTGAGGACCATGCCAAGTCCATTCTTATCATAACCTACTATCACTTTCTGAAAACTAAGGGGGAACTCCCATGAATATAGACCCCCCCCCCTCTTTGTCACGCCCATATGTTACCCTCTCCTACATGTTCCAGTTAGTAGAAAACTAGTTTCACTATATACGTCATTTTCTTTATTGAGAAAATAACGTGAAAAACGAAAACGTGTTTGAAGTTGCTTGAGCTGAGTATTATATTAGAAACAAATGAAAAGAAAATAAGAAATTAAATGTATTAGAAAAAAATTGAAATTAAAAAACCCCTTCCCGATCCCTCTTACTGAAACTATTTCTTCCCTCAACAAACTTGTTTGGTTATATCAGGGATTACATTGTAGCGTCTATAATCGCCTAAAGTAAGAGATGTAAGCTGACTTGTAAAATGCTAGATTGAAAAGCTGGTGTGATGATAGCAGTAGCTACACAATCTTCGTGTTCTGAGGCTTCGTTTAGCCTCGTTTCTCGCTTTGTTTGTTCCTATGGCCATTCCTTACCCTGGAAATAAAAAGATGAAAGAAATAATTTCAAATTTGAAAATAGCGTGATTCAACCTTAAACAATCCACAGAATACTGAACGTGAAAAATACTGTCAATTATACCTTTTCAACAATGGTGGTGTTTCCCTTCCACGAAGGTTCGGGTGTAATTAAAAGATATCAGATATGAGAAGTAGCCTCCCAGTTGTTTCCTAAAGCACGCAGTGTATCTGGAAAGGAGAGGAAAAAAAACCAATGTTGAACAACACCTAACTCTTGATAAAAAAAAAGTCAAGGTACTCTCGAAAGCTGATATAATGTTTAGTAGTTCTTCCCTCTAGCTACTATTCATAAGCGAGCTGCCAACCAGCAACCAGCGATTCCATCGTATTTGTGAAATCAGAGAACGGGAACCCGAAGGAAAATCATTCACGCTTCTATTTCGAATTCAATGCTGCATCCTCATATTATGCCGGAGGAAAAATCTCGTACTGCTGGAGACAATGTATGTAGACAAAATCGCGAAATTCTCAGGAGAAGTGAAAGCGACGTTTTACAATCTTTGTCATGAAATCTTCAGTCACAGATTCAGGGAGGGGGTACGAGGATTCTGGACTTTCCCCACTTCCACCTTCCCCCCCTCCCCGCATCCCATGTGGGTATTGGAATCGATGTTTTTCCAAGGAAAGGATTGCGTCTTACTTCTCAAGAATACAAGATCATTTAAGAGTTTCGGCCATATTATAGTAAGCTTTGATAAATAATTTCTAAAGCCGTAACCAACATTTGTCACTCAAGGTTGGTCAAGACGTTCTTATTTGCTATCACCTTTTGTTCGTCGCCTTGGAGTGCACAACAACTTTCTTCAGGAAGGAGCCGTATCCATTAAGTTGGACTTGGACAGATCGCAGTTTTCCAACGTCACGAGCAGATGAAAGCACGAAACTATTCTTTCCGTTTTTTAAACTTCTGAAAAAGAGCGAGTGGGAGGTTAACAAATGAACCAAGTAACAATGTAATAGATGTAAAGTTTTAGTAGTCGATGCATCGGATGACTGGCTCTTGGCGAAAAAAAAAAGTGTACAGTCTCTGTGCAGCCATTTATTTTCCATTTTTTCTTTCAGCTATGATCAATATTTGTTTTTACAAAGTAAATATTGTTGCTGCTCTTGGCCTGTTAAGTTGAGGACGATATCTCCTCGTGAGTTTTATTAACGTGGCTGAAACGTCAGTTTTTGATCCTAGTCTCCTCACCTTGGACGGACCGTTTCCACAGTCCCCTTGCTTCCAATGAGCTTGACAGAAATTCTGTCGTTAATAATGCTGGAGATTGAGAACAGGTTAGACCCAGCTTTTGAGTGGACGACAACCCGGTAATAATTGTCGCTGACTAAAAAAGATAAAAAACGAATAAAGAAATTAATGAAAAGAAGAACAAAACAACCTCTATCGATTCAGCTTCGAAAACAATTTATTCCAATTTTTAATATTATTGTCCGCTGTACTCATTATACCTTTCAATCTAGAGATGATATATTCTTGTTTCAATTCATTGCTCATTGAGTTATAAACATCACGCCCGATTTTTTACCATTGCCAATTTTTTTTGTTCACATTTTAGAATAATTTATTAAATATGCGTAAAAAAATTAATTTATGAGTCACACATGTTCGTATTGCGGACCTATTTTTTTTTTCGGCGACAACCTCCCTTAGGGAAACACTTTTCCCTCCACTAAAAGAAAGCGTGCAAAATGGACCAAAAGCCAAACTTTGTAAGACAAAACATAGCCATACAATAAAAGATGACAAACATGAAATTCTAACGATGTACAATTTTCAACCTTTATTGATGTCCTACCACAGAAAGGTGCCTGCTTTACTGTTTTCAAGTACGCTAGCACAGGCTTGCTCCCGCGATGTTTTTTAGCGTTGTATCCCATTTCAGAGCATTTTCCATCGCACGAGAGACACTTTCCATCTTGAAAATCCGTCCAGTTGTCACATGGGAAAGCTTTGAACGCGCATGCGCTATTGATTGAGGCAGTGAAATAGGCCACTGATTTCATGTGATTACAGGCTACCATCCATGGTAAAGAGACTTGACCACTGTCCAATAAGGAATCGACCGCACCTAAACAATGATTGAACAAAGTTTAGTTAAACTGTTGTCACCTAAAGCAATCGAAACACAGTCTATGTTGTTCGAGTAAATATTTACGTAATGATGGTGGCACTAAAAAAGATGAAACGAAAAGAGGATTAAACACCTCCAACGACGTGAGAAGTTGCACATCCCGGCTGCTCTATCCCACCGTTAGGGTAATAATCCACGTGACCACAGGGACGCTGGAGTCCTAAAGAGCTATCGATGGCACCATTCCTTACGTCGCTGTGAATGACGTCGACAAACATTGCGTCAGTCGGGTCCAGTCTAATTCGCCCGTCATCAAAGTCAAACCCAGGTCTCGCAGGATCCAGACCTGCAATATCATTAATAATTAATTATTATTATTATTAAATGGTACCAAGCGCGAGATGTCATTTTTAACCAGATGTTCGCTTTAAGCAGCTGATATATTTTGACAGGGGCAAATCGGATGGAGGAAATAGGAGTGCAAATAAGGCGACTAAATTATAAGGTCAAAGTTTTAGTTCACGCTGGAAAAAAGGAAATAAAAAAAGCAGGAATTGCGAGAATCAGAAGTACATCTGAGGCACCAAATTACAAATTTCCCACCTGGAGTCCATGTATCTTAACTGACAATTTTTAAGCGCAAATCACTATGCAATCTTCAAAAGACTTGAATCTATCCATGACTTTTTAGTTTCTTAAAAATTTAGCCCTGAATCAGAGAAATAAATGCTTCTATTACAATCTTAGAGTCTTCTAAACAATCCAAGCCAGGAGAAACAATTTTGCGTATTACCTGTAATTCGCCCAATAACTTTTCCGCTCTTAACCAGTCTTTCTCCGGCAAAACCTGCTACTTGTGCGCCAAGACTGTGTCCAATAATATGAAACTTGTTCAGCGCCACATTGAACTTCCGGTGCAATACGTCGATTAAATCAGCTACCTGTGCTCCAACAAGCCGCGTGTTTCCGGCTGCGATGTCATAAAGATTCATGACACTAGACCCTAGTCCCCAATCGACCACAATCACGTTCATCTTCTCTTTTTTCAAAAGCTCCGACGCCATCTTTTTTACCCAGGCACTCTCTCCATTCTGGGTATATCCATGCACAATAAACTTCACTTTTAGCAAAGGGTCAAACGTAGAGTTAACGATTGAGGTGTTGTTGTCTGTATTGAGGATTTCTAGGTTACTATGTGCGTTCGTTTTGGTGTGCAGGATAAACTTCGTACCGATCGAATCAGGATCAGAGGGTAGTAAAATGAGTGACTTGTCAAATGGAGGGTCGCTTGAAAAGCATCCGTATTTACCATAGCAGACTTTAGAGGCTGTACAAAGGGAAAAAAGAAAATGAGTGTAGTTTGCGTTCTTGGCACTCGGCCAGAATGTGAAAAACACACACACAGGCGGAAGGAAGGAGGCGAACGAATCGTTATTATCTAAAACACGTTTTAACTCATGGGGACTTAGAATTTTTCCTTTATCCCACGCTCGTGACAAGAAGGAAAACGTCTTTCTCGATTTCTTTACCGAGCTCAAAGCTGACCGTCTGTTCTCAAGTAATTTTTTTATTCTGAAATTTTCTTAATTTCAAACGAAATCTACTTTATTTAATTGACCTTCGAAAAATGACCAGGTTGAACGACCTCGAAAATTAATCTTCGATAAATTACCTGGTTTTATTTGGTACAAAAATTCTCACCATGTTGTGAGAATACCTGCCCTAACACCCGTTCCTTAACCCTTTTTTCCGCCATCTCTCTTGTTCTATTTACAAACATGACGTTAACGACATCGCTGATTCTAGCAGTATGCAGGACGCGCGTCATATGAACTTCGTAATAGACCTCGCTCACCGAAGAGTCTCTGTGGCTCAGTGGTGAAGCGTGGGAGCGCTGAATCCGTAGGTCTGAGGTTCAATTCCTCATGGAGACTGAAACACTGTTTGAAATTGTTTCCTTGACAGAAGCTGGTTAAACTGACGTTTGTCGACTCGAAATTTAGCGCAATAAAAATCCAAGTTAGTGATTACTTGAACCCTGTGAAAAATTAAGCCTTTCAGTTTTTCTAATTAATTTTCTGATTAAGCTGAACACGTTTTTCTGTAGTGAATTGGTCATAGGATAGAAATTTAATATACTTCTGTCCCAGAGACACAAAACTTAATTGTTTGTCAATAAATATTTGATCGTATTGTGGGAGTGCGAGTATGGAAATATAAGAGTAATTTTCAATATTTCAATGGTTTAGGGGGGATTTTTGTTTACAAATTCTTCTCACTTCTCTCAGTTTAAAGTAGGAATTTTTGACACATAATTGGTTCAGACGATTATCAATAATTAAGTTGAGGTTTTTCACGTTTTGGAGATGATTTCCTGTTTTTCAGTTTACCAGCTGATGCTCTGAACAGCGTGAGAGGAAGCCAAATGCCAAGGGAACGCTTTTCGTATTGATTGAGTCGCTGAAGCGAGGAGGAAAGGAAACTTTAACAAAATGGCTATGTCGCAATATCCAGTGATAATTTTACTTCAATTCTATGATTCCTTCGTGGTGCTACTGTCAAATTCACACCCTAACCCACCAGATCTGTGAACAAAGCTCAGATTGTTGAGATTTCAGATAAAAGTTGAACGTGGTTTTGAAACTCAAATAAAGCTTATGGTGTAGAATATGGAAATTGTTCGCCAAGACAGGCGTGAAGCTTCACTGGACATCTTTGGTAAATAATAAATTACGCTTACTTTGCGCTTTGAAGCAATTTTGTTTCGTCAAAGTACTTACCTTTGGAATGGTCTTGAAGCGAGAGGAGTAAAACGAAGAAAGACAAATATTTCATCTTGTGATTAGCGGATCGATAAACGATCTTCTTGTGTGTAGAGTCGAAAACGACTGAGAAATTTCTTGTAGTGTTTTCAGATGAAGTATCATACGGCGTCCAGCGGCTTATTGCGACATATATTGTCTGCCTTCGTTCAACCAGTGAAGCTGAAATTTCAGCATAACAATACACGCACGCAATAACAAACAATGAATTCCGCGGTTGTCACGTTAGGTCGGAGACTGGGGCATATGGAAATTGATTTCAGGATGGGTTACAGCTGTAGTTTCCGGTGATTTTGTGATAGGAAAATGTGTTTTGAACAACAACGCTTGGTTCTATTAAAAATTTGTTGCTTTTTTCCAAGAGAGTCCGCTTGATTTTGACACGTGAGTGACGTGGTGATACAACCCAGTGGAACAGCGTGTGGGTCGCGTGGATAGTGGCATATTGGAAAGGACAACTGTTTATTATAATTCTGCAAGAAAGAAAAGATATCTCCCGTCCACCCTGCCCTCCCTAGACTCAACCGTCTCCTTAGGTGCTGTCAGAACATAAAACTTACTATTCTTTTTCTATACTCCTCCTCTTTTCTTTCTTTATTTCATTCTTTCTTTCTTTCTTGCGTTCGTTCGTTAATTCATGCGTTCGTTTGTTATATCGTACGTTCATTCGTTAGTTCGTTCATTCGTTCGTTAGTTCGTGCATTCGTTCGTTAGTTCGTGCGTTTGTTCGTTAGTTCGTGCGTTCGTTCGTTAGTTCGTGCGTTCGTACCCACATTTGTTCGTACGTTCTTTCATTCTCTCCTTCTCCCTTTATTTTACTTTCAATTTTTTATTTTCCTTTCTTTCTTTTAAGGTTTGGGGCATTACTGTGTGAGAAAAACTGACCTGATCACAAAGTCTCAACTAATTTTCCTTTAATGCATTAACACATAAGACTATTACATTTACCTAAAAGGAGGGTCGATTTATCGTTGAATTGAGTCACAGAAAATTACCTGTTCATACTTCTTATCACTTACACAAATTGACACAAATTGGAAAATGGACCGAGACGAGAATAATTTTCTTTCTTAGCTCATTACTCCATGAGATACAAATATAAGGTGTAGGTTTTTTATAAGATCGTCACAATGTACTGCCACATTGTCCGGCTAAAAAGCCTACAAAGCTATAGCTGTGATTTACGGCACTGTAATCGTTACCTCCACTACAACGCTTGAACTGCTGGTTCACAAAGCATGAACTCCTTACCATCAACCGTCAAAAACGAAGCTTAATAGAAACCGTCAAACGGTTTCGAGGTCTATTTCTAAATCGGGCTGGGTGTTTACTTTTTAAATGACTATTTGCATATGTTCAATATACCTCCCATTCATCCAGTCACAGTTCTCATAATTGGTGCAGATGGAAAACAAACTAGTGACTTTATCGACAAGCACTTGACGTCTCATGGAACAGGGCTCGTCATTCACTGAGGATTAGTTTTTGATGCCAGTAGTTTTTCTGTACGAGCACTACAAAACAAGAGATAACAACACGAAATGAAAAAGTGAAAAATAATATGTTCCTTTTTCCCCCTTTTTGAATTTGAAGGAATAAGATGGTGAAATTTAGGAAAAATATAAACGTTACAACCTTCTGCAAACAAATACATTTACTCACATTGAAAGAATCAGTTCTTCTTCCACAACATTCTAAGCTTCCTTATCTTTCCCTTTCCTGACAACTTTTCTCATAATCTCCCTGAGTGAGGAAGAACAATGACGTTATTAAGTAAAGTTAACAAGTCGAGTGCAATTTGGTGTCAATAAGCACGAGTAAATTTTTCAAGGACAACAAAATTGCATGAGCCCGTAGGGCAAGTGTGCCTATTTCACAAAATTGCAAGAGAAATCATTTCATTACTTGATAATAATGTACATGTAAAAAAACATCACAGAAAGGCAACACAAATTTTGAAAGTGTGCGCGCGCTATTTGTAAAAACTTTGCACCCGTGTTACAACTTTGCACTCATATTACATGAGAATGCAATCTTTTTCAGCCAGGCAAAAGTGCGTAAATTTTTCACGTACATTTTTATTAAATTAAAAGCTTCTGCAGTGATTGCTGCCTCTTTTTCGAAAATTATTCAAAAAAAAATACAATAAAGGTCTTCAAAGTGAAGGCTCTTTGATCCAGGCCTCTTGCTTAACCTCGCAAGCTCGGCTTTCTCATCCCCAGGCCCGTCATAAACATCACAATTACAAACGTGCTAGAGTACAAACACACGACGATATTTGTAGTTCTCAGTTTGTAGGTTTTTCTAATCACCTGATATCAGTCAATCTTTCCTCCATTGTCTCAAAAGGATGTCGATTATCCGTGTATTCCAAAAGTTCTGGGAATGAAACAATTTTGTGTTGGTTAGGAAAACATCTGTAAGTGAAAGTGTATGTGTAACCAGGCCTTCTGGCTCCCACATCCAGGCCTCCCCAGATTATGGCTTCCTGAGCAATTTTTTTGTTTTTATTTCAAGCAAGATAAAGGGAAACGAAACATCAAACAGGGGTGGCCTACATTGTGCAATTACTACACTTAATTCTGAGGACGAAACTGTGATCGTAAACACAAGTTGATCGTTACGTTGTCCATTCTATTAAATTTGCAACGGAAATTTAGGGAAGATACCTTTGGCTAAATCTTCCTCGCTTATCCAGGCACCGTCTAAGTAGTTCTTTATCCTTAAATTCTAATTAAAAAAAACAAAGTAAAATGAATTACTTAGCCGTCAACAATTAAATAGTCGAGAACAACCACTCCAGAGCCGATGTTGTTAAGAATCCTCAGAGCGCATTTCCTTTTGCTCGATAATTATCTTACATGTAGGGCGAATAGCAGAAACAAATTACTATCTTACCCTGCAGAACTAACGAAGATTTGTAGATTGTTCTTTTAGTTCAAAATTTGCAATTGGTCCAGCTACAAATCGACGTCGAGGTTCTAAAGCGCATGGGTGAATTCAAGTTTTACTTGCGTACGCTCCAACAACAACTCTCAAAACTACTTCAAAACGCTTTGTGGAGAAGGCAAGATTTTCCTCAAGCTTAGAATGCTTTTCAGTCGCCTTCACATGGAAAATTTCACATGCATATAAATTTTCACGTATGATAAGGGTGAAAACCGAAAGGAGACTTTGTAATGAACCTAGATCACACCATTACGACGATCTAGCGCACTAAAAAATTGAATGGCATTCTAAGCATTTTAAAAGAATAAGTGCATTGCTTACCCATTTTGAATATCTGCTGAACTCCAATCGGGTGACAATAAACATGGTGTCGATGGCGTATTGCAGCTTAGCGGTCTTCTTTGCTTCACTGTAAGTATAGCTCAGCTGGGCTATGAGAATGTTGAGGAGTATAACGATAACCATCGCCATGTAAGCCAGAAGTATCAAGATCGACAACCAGCTGACGGAAAACAACACACAACGGTTTGATTAAGTGGCACTGAAAGAGTCATCAGTTTCCAAACCGAGAACTCACAAGGCTACTTATAGTAAAACAAGAGAATACGTTATGAAACCTGTTTCTGGCTCTCAATCAGGGCAGACGAGCGAAAGAGCCAGGGCGAGCGAAAAACCTCAGTTTTCAGGGAAACGGAGCGCCCCTTTTTCTTTTCGATCGTTTCCACTGACCGACAGCCTGGTGAGGGCTGAATGAAACAAAATCATATTTCACCTGAACTTTGAGTAGTCTTCTTCGGCCGGTTGCTGCTCGACGAGAGCTCGTACGGCAGCTAACATCAACCAAGCGTAATTACTGAAAGAAAGAACACAAAAATGTAATGGCTTCATCAGCGCTGATAACAATTCAGCAACTAACAAGGGAAATGATTGGCCGTCAAACAACGGAGCGTATATGTTCGAGGGTGTCTTAAGCTCGTGGTGAGTAAAGTTAAGTCTCATTGCATGTGCCAATTTATTCATTCTGCGCAGCATATCAAGCTTTTGAAATTTGAAGCGACTTAAAGTTTTGCGACTTCCTCCAATTCCATCGTAGGTAACCCCAACATATGTTCAGGTAGACGCTTTCCTTTCACAGCGCCTCTTTCCCCCCTGGAGTATAAAGAAATACCAGCAAGGAAGCCTGAGGAAATGCACAGGGTGCGGGGAGGGGGGGATCTGCCGTGGACTGGCATCCCATCCGGGGGAAGCCGCAACACCCCTTGACGCTTCATGCTACAGAAATTGAGATCAGCTCCGGTAATCTGAGCAACTGACTTAGCTTGAAAACTCGATTTCACCACTACCTTACCTAAAAAGCTCCTGAGAACCAGTAGCTTTCAGCGCCATAAACATGGCGCCACAGAATCCAAGAAACACTATGGTAAACACCACACTAAAGCGAGTGATATCGCGGTAGATGATCCTAGCAAGAGTCTTGGTATACAAACCCGTGGTTCTACGAAGCAAAAATTAAGAAAGTCAGCACTGGATGACGGAATAATCCTGGTAGGTGCGGTTTATGTAGAGTTTGCCCATAAGAAGTTCGCTCCTGACACCAACTTGTCTCGACAAATGAAAGATAACTAAAGATCGGTTTCTAGAAACGTTTTAGCTAATAACAAAACATGATCGAGATGGGTACAAAATATCATCTAAATACAGTTTGTTTTCCTCCGCGATGTACCAAAAATGAGACGTTCTTCGTCGTAACGGGAACGAACTCAGAGTGGGCGAACTTGTAATGGGGCGAAGCTTCCAGTGGCCGCAAATGTAGATCCGAAGCGACCACACATCGACAATTCTCAATTCTGACTTATTTGCGTGACACACTTATTTTCAAAGAAGCTAGAGCCAAGGAGATCAAGAAACATTTCAAAAACCAAGGGATGCATATAAGCAGTTTACCTTGTAACGCACGAAAACTTGAAAAGTCGGAGAAAATTAAACAGATAACCGAGGGCTGCCACGTTCCACTGATATCTGACTTCGGCAAATCGAAGAGGAATCACAAGGAAGGTCAAAATGAGACCCAACCAATCAAAATAATTGTACGGATCCTTGAAATAAGTTCTCCGCTCCCTGAAAATAAACACAGCAGTTAAACCGACGGTTACTTGAACCTCTTGGGCTGTTAGAACATAATTAACTACCTTGAAATCTATTCCAAATAGAAGCTTAGCAGAGATGGTGCAGTAGTGAGAACGCTCATCTGCCGGATTACTTTTAGCACACAGTTAAACAATTTTCCATAAGTCAAACTAGTTTTCAACTTGAATCTAACCATTTTTTATGTAAATTTTTTAAGTTAGGTTGAAATACTGACCGTTCTGCTTGGTTGACCTCTTCAAAGAAGTAAAACATAAGGAAGATAATGGAAAGAACTTCACAGAACAAACGCAGGCCATTCGCTCTGCCACCGTACTGCGTTGGATCGTCAAGCGTCGAGCCGTAGATAAGGGCGTAAGATAACAGTGTTAAAAACACAATGTAGAAAGAGCCTTCAACACTGAAATAGGAAGAGATTTAAATTTTAACATTTGCGGAAATTACGTGTGGCTTTGCCGATGACTGAGCCTGCGCGTAGAAATTTCGAGTCATTTATTGCAATGCGCAGAACTGCAGTGGCAACAACTTGGAAGAGGCTAGAAAAATGTTATCGCAGTAAAATGAAAAAACTCTTTATAGACAATAATGAACCATGAAGGAACAAAGCTGAAGAAGATTAACAATGATACTCTTGAAAATTTGGTCTAACCATTTCAAGACGTAGAAAGCATCACGTGTAAAAACGAGTGATTTTATCGTGTTGGTATTAACAAGAAGGCTGCATGAAAAGAAACTCAACAAAAGATGGGAATTTCAGCGAGACGAAAGAGAAGAGTTCACCAGCTTAACCCTTTCACACCCACAAATGATTAACGAGTAACTTCTCCTAAGAAGACCTATACATTAGCCAGCAAACGGGTAATGAGAATACTCATCTGGTAAAAGTTGATACCTTTGCCTAACAACAGATTCTTGAAACTATTTTACAAGAGTAGCAGCTTGAGGGAAATGAGTAGCAGCAAGAGGGGAGAGTCAAAGGTCAGATCATGGAGTTCAACGGTGTACTAAGATTATTGATGGCCTGTCTTGGATGACTAAACACAAGACTTCATAATCTGTACCAAAGAGGCTCTTACCAAAACCACCAGTGAGCAAACTTGTTCCATTTTCTGGAGACTAACATTCGCACAACAGGGTGTTGCACTGCTGCCTGAAAAAACCAAAATAAGTGTGGTTGCAGGCAAGGCGTTGTTTGAATTTGTCACGCAAGGTAGTCACACAAGGCAGTCACGCGTTCTCTCTCACACCAAAAGCTGCTTACATTAAAACCACATTTCCTTGCGTGGATGAAAATCCGTTGCGTGAGAAGAACAAACAACGACTGAAAAGGAGATTTAAGTTCAGTTGCAACTAATTCTTCTTTTGATATTAAAGGGCCAAAATTTCAAGGAAAAAAATTAAGCGACTTAATCCGAGATAGAAAGCTTGTTATAATTTATTCAAGAGTTAGATAAAAAGGGGTAAGTTTCTGAAGAAACTGTGCTGCTGCGTCGGTGGGAGAGTATACTGAACAGGGTAATTTAGTATTATGAACTGAGTTGATAACGTAAATTGGCCACCGTAAAGAGTTCTAAAGCTGACGTTTCGCTCTGACGAAAGGCTAACGCTCGAAACGTAAGTTTGAAACTCTTTAGGCCAATTTACGTTATCAACTCAGTTCATAATACTAAATTTCAAAGAGTTAGATACTCGAGGTAGAAGATCAAACAGGACTCCACTCTTGATAGGTGAGACGCACTGAAGCTTGTATGGCACGCGCTGGACTGGAATCCAGATAAAAAGAGGTACACAGGTATAACGAGGTACCAGTGAACCAAAAGGGCGGAAACCTAGGGAAATGCTGAGGGCGGAGGGCTTTGTAAACGACTGGCATCCCATGTGAAGCAGAGTAGTAGTGCTAATGCTAATCATCTTTGGATTGCTCCTGAGCATGAAAGGATCAACTAACCAAAAACATTAAGGGGTAGGTTTCTATAGCAACTGAGACGCCGTATTGTTTGGGAAGTATAAAAAGATAATTTGGTGTAACAACTTGAGTTGATAATGTTAATTAGCCCCCATAGAGAGTTTCTAAGCTGACATCTCAAGCATTAACCCTTCATCAGAGCAACCGAAATGATAAAAAAATACCTTATTTCCACTCTCTGCAATTCGTCTCAAACATGATAGAGACTTGTGGTTAAATTTCAGGTTAGACACAGTTTCAGTCTTGATTGGAGTTCCTTGCTCATCAACTTCGGTAGCCACTTCTATTTTTGGCTGTCTTCCGCTTTCGTCCGCTTCCAGTACGTGATAAAAAAAGTCATAGTTCATGGGGTCATCAGGAACGCTGCTTACAGATCTTGCAATATCCTCTTCATTATCGTCATATTCCATCCCACGTGGTAGGTATGGCCAATGAGGATTTATAAGCTTGTCTAAAATTGCTATAACTGTTTTCTGAATGAAAGCAAAACATAAAATTATGACCAAAGAAAATGACAGAAGAGTTTAAAAGTGAATAACTACATAAACATGACAGAAATCAAGTGCATGTTCACTCAGGTATTTGGCTTTAACCCTTTAAGTCCCACTAATGACCAAGACAGATTTTCTCCTCACACTATCAGTACCATATGAAGCAGACAAGTAATGAGAATAAAGAATGATATGAATAAGGAGATTATTGGTTGATCCAATTCCAAATTCTCTAAACTAACATCACATAAATTGTATGGCAGACAGTAAGGAGAATTACTAATGAAATCTTGGCAGATTAAGGGTTAATGAGACTAAAACTAAAGGTGAATTGAAGGAGAAATTACTCTCTAATCAGGGATCAAGGTAATGTTAATAAGCCACTTGACTTTCAAAACGAGAAAATTATCATTGAAAATTATGAATATGGAAAAAAATTGAGTCAAAAGCAAAATCTATGATCACAGCAGCAGATCTTAAACCTTCTATGACATAATACTTTTTTCACTATTTTTCCAAGTTGTCAAAATTTCCAGAGTATAACCCCATTTAAATTAACCCACAGTTTCCCAATTCAAATATTATTTATGAATCATCTAATGAATGCCCTATAATAAAAGTTATCATCAAAGGAATTGTCTGAAAAAGGTGTCATCATGCACTGTGAAGGTTGGGGTTTGTGTTCTGAAAAGGAATGTTGTACACTAAACTGTGACTGATATTTTGTCTACAGACATCAGATAGACTCTAATAGCAACATCTATCAATCCCCTTCAACTACATGAAAGTTTAAAACACAACCACAATCATTATGATAAAAATATTTCAAGAGGATGACACCAAAAAGTTAACACTAAGCTACAATAATCTTTTCGACAATGACCCTTTAAGAACTATACTTTACAAACTTTTCTCTACCTTCATGCCAGGTTCATTTGTCCGTGGGTTTTTGTAACTGATATAATGTCCAAAAAAAAACTTTGCACTTGACTGTTCCTCATCATCTTTACAAAGGAACAGTTCCTGGACTCTGGAGAAACAAGCAAATCAGTCACAAAAACCAGTATTTCATTCTGGTGCCAAAATTTTCCAGGTTTATCAATTTGTGTACTTGTTCACAGGTCACCAGTAATATTTCTGTTTGCAAGACTAATTTCATCAGAATGACTATACTAACTGACTATTTCCTTTTTATCAATATCAACAATTTGTTCACCCTTTAACTCCCAAGATCAGTTTGTTAATTCTCCCCTCTGGCTCTACACATTTCCTTGTAAATGAGATACAAGAATTTGGTGTCAGATCAAGGTAACAACTTTGACCTGATAAGTATGAATATTCTCATAACATGTTTGCTAGATAATGTTTAGATATTATAGGGAGAAGTTACTTGTTAATCACTTCAGGGAGTTAAGGGTTAACTGTTTACAGAATTAGAATAATTACAGATTAAGATTAAAAAGATTAATTTTCAAGATTAAAAATCAACATATCTAGTTATCCAAAGAAAAAAAAACTATTACTAATACAAGCTGGGTATTTAAGTTCTGTAGATCTTTTGAAATTAAATTTATTTGTGTATGATCATATTGAGAACTAGAAATGAATATAAATTTGCAGATGAGGGTATGAATATATCATGAAAAAAAAAAAAAAACTCAGACAACTTGTCAAATAAGTGTCAATGAATCAAATTATCTCTTCCAAGTTTTCAGTGGGACAAACTGAGGTAATCTGGACAGAACTCCCTTATAATATTACAGTAGTTGCCTGGTTAGTATACAGATCTGAGTGTGTTAACCTTTTAACTCCCAGATCAAATTTGTGATTCTCTTTTCTGTCAACCATACAATTATCATGTTTGTAACACTGAGAATTTAGTATTGAATCAACTAACTATCTCCAAATTGATATTTTTCTTAATTCTCATCACTTATGTGGTTGATATTGTATTAATATTGTAAGGAGAAATTATTTCTTGGTCACTAATGGGAGTTAAAGGGTTAACTCAACAGAGGCAGTAGAAACTCACCGATCGTGCCTCATTTGAGATATTAGATGAGCTGCTGTGTCATCTTTGTATTTCTTTAAGGCCAATTCAACTGGTAAACTACTGGGATTATTGTCTTTCTTGCGGGTCCACAGGTACATCAGACCTGGGTAACGTTCTGCCAATGACTTTGTGACATGCAAGAAGTTCTGTTCTGCTGCCAGATGCAGTAGTGTCGGTTGGGCTGAATCACTATCTTTTGGAACACGGAAAAATTTGTAGACTTCCTCTGTGTCCCTCTCAAGAATTATCACTGTTAGGCGACTGATCTAAGGTTGAAAGTAAAAGAAAAACTACCTTTTTAAGTTTAGCAGTTCATGCCGTTTGACCCTTAACCATGGTTTCTGCAACATTAGAAGATTCAAAGTTTTTCTGCTTCCCTTATAACTTCTTAATGCCCAAAAATGACTGGCATCTAATGTTTCCTAACAGTACCACTGCTTTAAAACTTAATTCCTACTGTTTGAAATTCTGAAGAACCTACAAACTGCTCAAAAACCCTTTTCAAACATATCAAAAGTTTGATTAGGAACACTGTCATTCCAAAGGACTTGGCAACCTGGAGCACATGCAAAATACCGGTAATGCTGCACCACTTACAAGCATTGAACAGCTGCTATTATAGGTAATTGCAAAACATTACCTGAACCATTTGAGTAAAAAATTAACTCTTTGCCTCCCCCCCCCCACTTCAAGGAGCAACCAGCAACTTATTCCTCCTTACAATATCACCCCTGAATCACACAATAAGGCCTCAAGAATAAAGGATATGATCACCAACTCAATTAGCTCTTGATTTTTAAACAAATTCTCCTTTCTAGCACCTTAGGAAAAGTACAGAGAACAGTATAGAGAATATACAAACTGATATTAAGGTGTAAGGAGCTTAAAACAACAGCAATTCCATACCAGATACTCCAAACTTGGGATCAGTTCTGGTTTATCTCTGTATTTCTTCTTCTGTGGCCAGTCATGAATGATGACAAGAAGAGCATTTTTGTCATATTTTTTGATTAGCCGATCCACTCTGACCTCATCCATTGCTCTATTCCATGAAAGGTTTGCATCTTTCACTTTGTTTTGAACCTAAGTATTACATGTACAATTAGGCAATTGCTAAAATTAAATTGTTCATTTAAATGATGTTAATTTTAGAGCCATTTTAAGTTATTCCAGTTGTGAAGATCTTAATTTCTTGAGTGCCTGTATGATGTACTGAGTACATCAAAATGTTATCTTCTCTGGTGCCAGCATGATGTACTGAGTACATCAATATTTTAAGAGATTCATTCAAAATCTCGGCATACCAGAAGCAAGTTTGATCAGCACCAGAGATTCAGGGGAGGTTTTTAGGGAGAATGGTAATGAGTTTTTATGTCCAAAGGTCTTTGCATGTAACCTTTGCATTTCTTGTTTGATTTACAGTGAAACTGTTATGGCACACAGCATGCACAATGGTATGGCCATTCAAGGGGTTAAATATATTGAAGCCTTAGTAAATGAACTGATTCACCTAGTTTTTGTAAATTATTTACCTAGTGCACGGTTATTTAAGATATTCCCATTGGCCTTTATTCTGAGAATATCTATTGTCACCTTTCTGAGTGCTGGGATATGTTTGAAGGGCATAAAACCCTATTCAACCAATAAATTACCATCCAGAAGAGAAGAAATAACAAAACTGATCATAAAAATTTCAATTTTCTCAGTTGTGGTTGGTTTAAGAAACTCGTATTTTTCACCAACTGATTGATGCCAAGTTGTTATTGGACAGTTTGTTATTGGACAGTTTGTTATTAGACAGTGTTATCCACAAGTTCAATAAGCCAATCACATTCAAAGTTGTGGTTTAGTCTTTTAACGCAAATTTTCCTTACTTCCATAACTTGGCTATTCATCCTTTCTCAGAAATTGTCATTTTTATGATAAATTGGTAATAAGACTTTGCATCATCCCATTCTATCTGTAATCATACTTGTAATAAACAAATCAGACCCCTGCTGCGAAGTCATGCAAGTTTGTTATTACTCATATGACTCCACTCAGTCCTATTACCATTACATACTGCACAATATCTACCAGTGGGTAGCGTTATCCACCTTTAAACAACCAGGGCCTGATCTAATATCTAGCTAATTTACAATCTATCAGGATAACAACCTCTGGCTAAATATATATTTCGTCACGCGGTCATCTATGTGCTGGATAATGTTGATATTAGGAGAAGATACTTATCAATCAGTTCAAGGCGTTACTAAGAGGGGTAAGCTCATACTGGAGACTTTGATTTCATATCAATAACAATATTGGATTTATTTGTGCGCTTAGTTTTCTAATAAAATGACCCTTTTCAGGGTCAAATTAATTTTTAACTGCGACCTTTCAGGCTACTAGTGTTTCAAAAACTAGTTCAAGAATAATCCGAGCATTTTGTTCTGAAAGAGCATACACAAAGTCCACGAATTTTGCACTGAAGGGCTACATAACTTTAAAAAGATCAGTATATTGGCCATTATAATTTGTGAGGCAGCTTGTAAACAAAAATTTCAAAATGTCGCTTATTGCTTTACAATATACAACATAGAGTTGTAATGTAAAGTGCTTACATCTTGCATAGTGTTTGTGAGGTTTACTCCTGTAAAAAGTCGAAGCTCTAAGCGACAAATACAATTTTGCAAATTCTTACCATCAGCCAGAACTCTTTATCAAAGCGTTCTTCCATCTCATCTTCGGCTTGATCGGTTTTATCCTTAACTGGCTGCATCTCTTCCATTTCCTTCTCCTCAACGTTGACTGGAATCACTGTGTATGCTTCTTTCTTTTTCGCCATAATAGTAGCAGGTAAATTTAGAGCAAACCCTGCCCATTCGTGACAAATCAGCCCAAAATATTTTGAACCAGCGCAAATTTCCCTCAGGTCACGATCCAGAAGCTTCGGGTCTATTCTCACACCTGATTGGCTCTCGAACAAAACGGAAGTGGAACAAAGGAGAAACCGGAAATCGAGAGCTCCAAATAACCTTCCTTTATTTGGATCGATAAGGTTATTTCCTACGCAGTCAACATACACCGCGGAAAGTTTATTAGGAATTATATCTTGATGTGAATGAAAATTAGCCCTGATAGACACATCGCACCGATAAAAGCAAGCGCAGATTGTAGGTTCATTTTCCTCCGCTTTCCCCCCTCTCAAAATGCTCGGAAGAGAATTATAATTTTATCAGAGTATAATCATATTTCTAAAGTTCTTATTTCACGGCGACTTCTAAATAGCGTTCGAAATAACGTTTTATCAGAAATGACATACTCGATGTTATGTATTTTTTTTCTTTTAAAAATTTTATTTCGCATATTTATGAAATAATTTAAAAAGGAAAATACACCCATCTTTACAAATACCAAATCTGGCAGTTCAGGTTGTTCATTCGAATCGCTAATTGGAAATGGATACCAAAAACGTTTATGTTTATAAATTTGTTCCAATATTACATTTAGCGTTTATAGTTCAATGGTGTTTTACGCGACTCCTAGGATCGCCGCTACAAGTGAATCTAACCCCTTGCCTTCAAATTCGTTCGGCCGCTGTATCTTATCGGGGTTTTCCACACCAAGGCTGTAACATTTACCCCCAAACCATTGTGAAGGGATCTCCGTTCCAAAGCATAAAGGAAGTAGTTTGCTCGGTAGCTTTCCTTGGTCGTTGGTGAAGTCTTCACGCGGTATTATAACCGATTGATCGTTTGAGCTCGAGATACACAAAATGACGATATTGTTAGGAACTGCCAGCCATTTCAAAATTCGATCTTTGATTAATACATTATCGTGTTCCAATAAGTTGACAGCGTTTTTTCTTGACATCGCCACACAACCAGGAGGGTTAACCTGATTCAAAGCGTCGTAGAAATATTTCATAATTTCACTCGAGCGCTCTGATGTTGATTTGTACAGGAAAAGCGCATGTTTAGTTCCCCCTTTTCTACTGCTGACAGGAGTGAGTTTCGCGGCTCTGACATCTTTCGTCTGTTTGGAGTCCTTTCCCATTGCAAATTGGAATCGTGAGAAATCGGACCAGTGATTATAGTTGTAACGTCTGATAAGTGAAAATTCACGTAGGATGCAAAACCGATCGGCTTTTCACAGTTCGAGAGCAAGAATTTCGTCGATTACAGTCCAAACGTCCAACTTCCCGTGTGTTAAGTCAATGCTTGAACTAAGCACACGAGAAGTTGGACGCTTGAACCCTTTAAATAGTCGAGAAACACTTAAAAATAATTCGGAGCCAAATCAACAACCCACAGGTCACGCAAAGGAAGGTTTGGCTCTATTCTGGCTCTTGATTGGCTCAAAAACCAAAACGGATGTGATACCAACCCAAAACCGGAAAGTGTGTGACAACTCTCAAAATGACTTTATTTGGATTTAATTTATTGTAATTCCTTTCTAGGTAAAAGAGAAAAAAATCATATGACAAGGAGAATAGAACTCATCAGGTGGATTTTTTTTAAATACTTCTCTTGAGAAACTATATAAAATATTTTTTTTGGAATTTAAGGTTGAGCTTTACAGCGCCCAAATAAGGCTTTATCTGATTTCATTCTTTCAACTACCTTCATCTGCTCGTAATTTGTCTCATTTTAGTCTGCCATTCTTATTCTATTTAGAATATTACATTTCCGAAAAATCCCAGAACTTTTAATGAATCGCAAAAAAATTTAACACACAAAGAACACAGTTATGCGTCATTCCGATCTTTCTGTAATTTTGGTTGTAATCAAGAAAAAACGATTCCACAACATTCATACATTTCAAAGCAACCTTTAATTAAAAAACTCCACAGTCGCTAATCTTTTCGAAAAAATAATAGAATGGTACATGAATTTTTTAAGTTTGTATAAAATCCGTCTGCTGAATTCACGACTTTTCTGGGTTATTATTATTATTATTTTATTTGGTGAGCGCTGGAAGCTCGCTAATTTATGCTTATTTTGATCACGCGGTATCACCTGATATAACTGAACTTTGTTCATAAAACTGAAATTTAAAGTTTTCTTGCTTAATTACTATACCTTATTCTAAGAAAATGTTTTGATAAAATGATACCTACCTTTTAAATCATTTCGAACTGAACTACAGCGGGACCGGAAAGCGAACTTTGAATTGCCGAACTTTGAATTGCCTTCAAATAAGCTTGACTGATAAAAATGCCGTCAAATAAGCTGGCCTGAACAGCGAAAACATCTTGCATAGTAACAGAAGTGTTCCATTTCTATGAGTGTTTTATTACGCTCCTCGAACGGCACCAAGCCGTTGTCTTCGAGATCTATTCTAAAAAAATGTTTTTTCAATAAAGTGAGATTTACGCTCCTACCTTCTAAACTGATTTTCTCAACTACAGCGGCCGGATAAAAAAGCGAACTTTGGACTGTTAGCAAGCTGGCCAGAACAGAAAAAAAATCTTGCACACGCCGACGAAAAATGTCTCATTTCTATGAGGATCTAGAGTTCTTGATCAGTGTTTTATTTCGCTCCTCGAATGGCAGCCATAAGCGTGTCCCAGCCGTCGCCTTTAAATTGATTCGGCTCATTTATCGCTGCGGTGTCCACCAAACCAAGACTGTAACATTCACCTGGAAGCCAGTGAGAAGGAATCTTATTTCCAAAACAAACAGGAAATATTTTGGTCCTTAGCTGTACTTGGTCTTTAGTAAAATCTTCACGCGGTATTGAGCTCGAGATACACACAACAACAATGTTATTAGGGACCTCCAGCCATTTCACAAAACGTTCCTTGATTGCTTCGCGTTCGTTTTCCGAAAATTCTACAATGTCGTCATCAGGCGAGACTTTGACGCATCCATAGGGTTTCGCAGCATTTAAAGCGTCGCAGAAATGATCTATAATGTCGCTTGTGTGCTCTGATTTTGGATTGTATAGTATAAGCACACGCTTCACAGTGTTGTTTGCCATCCCTCAGCAGCAAGTTCTTTCACTTTTCAACCGGCTGAGTGGATATGACAAAGATTTCATTTTCACTTTACATATAAGAAAATGTTATGTATTTTTAATGTTGTTTTCATTTCAACCTGCAATTTTTGAAATTATTGTCACGTGAAATAACAATAACGCATATCGATTACTCAAAGGGAAAGGGTAAATTATGTTTTATTTTGCCACGTGCCTAGTCTGTAGGCGAACTATTCTCAGTGTGAAAAGTACGTATTCTCTTTCGAAACCTTTCGAAAAAAAGCTGATTTATTTACTTGTTGCCATTTGATTTAAAATGAAATTTAAGAACCTGCCTTCATTTATTATGCGAATCTGTTAGAGGACTCTTATTGAGTTTATATAACCTCAGTCTTAACGTCATCACGTGTGACAACTTTCAAAGTGATTTTATTGTAATTATTTTTGAGGTAAAAGCGAAAAAAAGCATATGACAGGGACAATAGGACTAATCAAGTGAATTTTTCAAATACATCCTTTCAGAAACTTCGTAGAATCGTACGATTCTATTTTAGGCTATAGCTTTACAGCGCCCAAATTAAGCGTTTATTTGATTTCATTCTTTGAAACTTTAATAAATTGATACTTAAGAATCTGCCTTCATTTATTCTGCGAACTTGAATTATTAAAGGTATAGAGGACTCTTATCGTGTCTATATTATCCCAATCGTAACACCTTCTTAAAGAGTTGGAGGAAATCGACAGAATCTGGCGAGCCCTCACTGCCTTAGTGTTAAGAAAAGGCTATGTGGCTATGAAGAAAAATAAAAGGGCGTCTATTGCTGAAATATTTCTCAAATGTGCACGCTTAATTGTCTAAAACATCACAGCTGCGTTTATATACTCTAATGAATCTTATCACTTCAACCGATCAATGAGACGGGATAGACAATAAATATCATCAGCACAAAGGTTTTTTTAAGCGACTATCTATCACTACTTCTCACTTCTTTCACACAGCTCGGGAAAACACACCTTCGCACTCGCGAATCCAGATAAAACCGCATTCATCGTCGAAAAAACGAAATTCTTTGATTCTCTTCTGTAGAAACATCTCGTTTACGAGGAAAGAAGATTACTTTATCATCTGTTTGAGAATTAGCTGACGTGTGAAAAAGTTTCGAGCACAACGACTCCTTGTGTTTCCGAAAAATTTATTTTTTCGTATGTTTGTTAGGAACATATTTACGCATAAACTCTCCATGTTGACCATTTTCGATTTCTTCAAGTTCTTTCGCTCTAGTATTTAAAAAAATATAGAAGAAGCCACAGAGGTTTTTGTACTGCCAACTAATAGATTTTGTTTGTTACTTTGCCTTTCATAAGACAGCTGTATGTCGGTGCTTTGACGACCATTACCGCTGAAAGTGCATGTAAATATGCGTCAATGCTCTCTCTGGAAATATAAATGTAAGTGCTACTGAGCCTTCTGGAAAATTGGTTCTCGAGACATGAAGTTGGCAGCTGAGTTCGTGCTCGTAAGTTCCCTTTCCTTTCATAGGATAATTTCCCACGTTACCGCTTTTCCGAACTTAAGGACAGGTGTTTGTAATATGAAAGCCGTGAAAATGACTTAGGGTTGCTCTCTTTGATGGCCTATAGTCTATTGTATCCGTTTCTCAGTTTTGAAATTCTTTCCGAACAAATATTATAATTGAATGAAATCGCTTAACTACAAAAAGACCAGTTTTCCGCTTCTTTTGTTCTGCAATTCAATTATAGTAAATTTAGAGAACAATAGAGCCACGCGCTCCATAGCACTCAAGGAAGTATGTTGGAAAGCTTTTACATAGACGACCGCGTGGCGATCAAATTGACGATTGTCTTACGATTGTTTTACGATTACGAAGTAAAGTAGGCTAGAGGTCAGGTTGGTTGCCGACATGAACTAAAATAAAGTTACTGTGGAACCAAACGCTGTCTAGTCCTTGAGGTCCGCGTAGCAAGTTCGCTTGAAGCAGGTCTCGAGTCGATCCGTGAGCCAGGGAAACCTTGACGAGTTTTCTTCCTGCTGCCAAGTGGTTTTTACCGAGCTATTATCCCGGTTATTGTTGCGTTCCCCGCAAAGTACTTTTACTGCGAAAAACCTATCGTCACAATTCACGTAGTCAACGCCCTTATAGTGCAAAACTTTGGTAGCTTTTTTTAAGCTTTAAACGTAAATGAACAAATAGTTTGAGCCGGATTAACTCACGTGTTCAATAACATTACATGATCAAAAGAAGAACTCACTAAAAAAAGATTTCGTAGACCAAACAAACAAACAAGAACGTCATAAAATAAACATTTATTCGTGCCACAAATTAGCTGAACCTAGTGGAAAATGTTGAAAATGAAACGGCTCTAGTTACTATCCGAAAGCAAGTTTAATTTGTTTAAAATACAGATTATGACTGTTTCAAAAATATTTGGCCGATTCATTTTCATCGTGATTTTAATACTGCCAACGTACATTTTGAAACTATAGAGTAATTTTCTGTGGAGTGCCGTTTGAGCAATGCTCAGATTATTACAATAGCCAATCAGAGCACAGGAAAATTCAAAGGCAAAGGGAGAGGAGCCAATGAGAGTTTAAAAAAAAAAAACCATGGAAACGACGTGAAATGTGGGAAAACAATGGTGACGAAAACACGATTGGATTTAGATTCCTATCTTATTGGTTGAGACGGTGGCGGGAGTTCATACTTGGACCAATCACGGAGGGAGTTAGATTTATATCAAAATAATCCTGGATTTAGATTACTTCAGAAACAATGGAAAACTGGCTTAAAATTACTGAATTACTGGCTCTTTTGCTACATCTAGATGACCTGTTCAAGTTCCATTCCGTTCACTCTGCTCTAACAACGGCAATAAGTTCTTTCAACGGTTCTTCAAAATCGCTTGGGCTTCTCACAGCTTTGAAGTCGACGTTCAAAGAAACACATTCCTTCCATGAAGTCGGACATTTTCCAAAGGAAAACGCCACGATCTTCCCTCCTTGCAAATTAATATCATCCGCGAAAGGCTGTACATCTTGACTTGACAGCAAGCAAACGAGAACCACACCACTTTGACCCAGCCATTCGTTAATCCACTGCTTCGCATCCGTGAGGGAGTTACCAGAAAGACAACTTGAGACATCAAGTTCCAGGATTTTCACATCTCCCTCTTTGATTACTAAGCTTCCTGGAGGTTTAAAGGCGTTTACTGCATCGCAGAAATGATCAACGGCATCCATCTGTGGCTTGGACCCTACGTCGTGTAAAATTAGCAAACGGAGATTTTTGGAGCTGTTTTTTCCTTTGGAGACTATCTTTGGATGTACTGGTTTTTTCTTTCCTTTTTTCGACGGATCGTTGCCCATGATCTGCGGAGACAGGTTTCATATACATATTTGATAAGTACAAAACAAGAAAAGCTAGGGTAGTCAGTATATCCCGCTCAGGTTACACCGATGCGCTTTCTAGCTAGTTCGGAATGAGAAATTTATGATTCCCCTTCTTGAAAAGGTGAGCGCTTGTTCGAGTAAGGTGAATTAATTAATTATTAACGGTCATGTTATAAATATAAAAACAAAATAAAATAACTGAACTCATTTTTTGTAGGTAGGCTTTTGATCCGATTTCATTAGTAAAGTCACTAACGATGTAAAAGCTATAAGTTTAAAGGTCTAGATAGAATAAGATCACCAGCCTTCGCAGAAATAAGCTAAAGACAAAATATAATCACACGCGAACGTTTTGATTAATATGCCTCGCCTCATTCTGCCCACCCACCGGGCACCTCGGGTTTTTTTTGCATGGGATCGATGGCAAAATTTCTAGGAGTGTCTAAACATCTCAAAACTAGGTTTTATCGCCTTTGATATAGCAGTAAGTTAGATAAACAATCCTTTTTCGTCGGCAGTAATGTTACATCAGCTGCGATCGCTTGATGCATGGAAAATGCATCATATGATTCACCCGAGATGTTTAGGCTGAGTTCTGTTCAGTTATTTTTATGCTCACAGCTTACATAGAAAGATAGCCATAACAAACAAAACACATCGCCAAATCTACACGTGAAAAAAAAGCAAAATGTAAATAAATAAAATACGAAAAATTCCCAAAATCAATTCGAGTGTGACTTACTTACAGGTGAGGTAGAGACACCTAGATTGTGTGCCCTCAAGGTAGGTAGCGTGACATGATGTCATGAATTAAAGAGCTAGATTTAACGTTCAATGTCATTAAATATTGGAAGAATAGTGATTTAGTTGATGCTGGTACTAAAGATATAAACAGCCGTCAAGAAATTGGAGTAACAGACGCAGATATAGTAGTGCGAGACATGATCAGTGGCGTGATTTTGCGAGAAAAATTCTATACATTTTGGTGAGATGAAGACAGATCTTAGAGAAGCAAAGACAGTCGCTTGAAGCAATCTACATATAGTGGTCATCTAAGGCCCAATATAGCTTTAAAATACATCAAATTTTACTTTCACCTTGGTGAAATTAAATGGCAGGCAAATTGAAGCGCTTTTAAATATGCGTTCGCCAATTAAGTCAATCGAGAAGAGTGCCATTCGACTAAAATGCTTTAAACCATTTGAATCAGCACTTAATCAAGCGTGAGTCATGTGACAGAACGGCAGTAAACAATCGAGTAAACAGAAGGAAATTTGCTCACCTTTTCAAGGTAACGCTCAGTGAAGTAGCTTAGAAGCGAGATTGGAGTCTCTAGCTGTGTATTCTCAACAACGTCAATCGAAGACTTTGAGAAGGATTTACTATAAAAGTCGTTCCTGTGCAGCCACAAAGAATAGTATGTGAAAGATTTTGAAGTATGCCACACAACCCATATGACGTCAATGAACTTCTAGAAGGATGAGCCTGCGATTAATTTTCGTGCGACGCATTTCGGTCAGCGGTGAAAATCTGGATGTTTTTGGAAGTTTCGACAATAAATTCATGAGCAACTTTAATCAGCGATACCAGAATAAATAAAGAATTTTAACAGAATTAGACGAAAATACTTAAGTAAAACACAATTCTTTGATCATTGTAAGTTAAGTTAATCTAAGTGATGAATGTATGGAACTGCAAGTTAGGCTTCCCCATTTTGGTCAGCTTTGAAAATCTGGAAAGTTTCGACAATCAATTCATGATTAATTTTAATCAGCGATATCAGAGTACATAATTTTGAAAGAATTAGAAGAAAAACGTAAATGAAACACCATTTTTTAATCAACATAAGTTAGGTTAATTTCATTGTCAAATGTAAGGAACTGAAAGTTGGGCTACCCCACTAGGGGCGAGGTGGTGAAATCGCAAAGGACGCCTCTTGTCATTTTACATAAAGTATCATTTCCCCGCTGACATGATGCCCTATCTCCATTGATTTTCAAACCATGTGTTGTGCATTTGAAATGACGGCGATTTTGGTGGAACAAAGAAAAGACAATGCAAAAAAAAATATGTTAGAGACAGTTACTCTTTTAAGTCTGAATGTTAGCAGTTAAACCCAATCGTTCCAAAGCATCTTTTGACGTGACACTATACAAACCTTTATCAAAAGTATAGTAACGTTGTCCGTCTTTAAATTCACCTGTTTTTTTTTTCGAGTGGTTGTCGAGGATTTTCCCTAAAATTGAGCAAAGGTATCAATAAAAATCTGCATCGAATACAGATTATTATAATTTCAACTCACTATCTCTTTTCTGATTGGCCGAAAGTGACGATGAAATTTCGAAATCAGCACCTGGGACGTCATCTAGCTACAGATTACACAATAATCATGTCAAGGACACTCACGGTCACGGATAATCCTGTTATGTATGACCGCGGTGCATGATTTCTAAGGGTAATCACGTCAAGTTCGCGCCCTTTGCGTTACTTGCTGATTGGTATTTTTTCTACACGTTTAGAAATAAATGATTAGTTCCACTTACTGTGGTGACCATTTTTTTTTCGTTCAATGTATAATAAAACAATTAGATTTGGTTTTTGTGATATCCAGAGTAGTCAAGGTCTCGGTAAGGGTTATAAGCCTAAGTCGAATAATTGTTTAGAATTACTGGGTTTTTTTTCTTTAGTCTGTACATATTACAGAGAGAGGTAAAAAACAACTAGTGTAATCCTGAAAAACCCCCGACACTCAGTTGAACATTTATCCGCACTGTTCGATATGACGGTGGGCCTTGACGCAGAACTTGAGTTAAGCTGAGTTTTAAAATTTATCCGATGTGATTTATAGGGGGCGTTTTTTAATAAGGGATAATCCAACAAATTTTTTCTATTCTTGGTTACCCTGCATGCAGAGCGAAAAAACAAATTAGAAAAGAAAAGACATCAGTCAAAGATCAAATGGAATTATTAAGCTTGTTATTTAATGGAAGGCTTTTTCAGTACCCGCCAATTTCCCATTCACAATAGATTTATAAAAACGACGGATCTGATTTAAAATAGATACATGGTACAGAGATATTGGCTGAAATACAACAGGAACTTAGCAATAAAATCATAAAACCAGAAAGCAAACGGCGGAAATAACGGAACTCGTCACATCCTCTGTGTTAGCAAGTTTAGTTCCTTCTATTTAGTAAAATACGTCACTTAATGAAATCTTTGTTTACAATCTGCAATGCCGACATTTATTTTACAGCCAAGTATTAAACAAGAAAGAAACAAATCAATATTTTACAAGCATTTAATAAGCTATGAGTCAACATTGGGGATCGTGTAATAACTATTCAAAGAAGTTTGTTAACAAAGCGGAAAACGCTATTATTTGCACAAACAGCAAATACGACGTTCATTTGAAATCATATCAATTTTGATCTTAAGCAAGGCTGAATGAGGTAGCTATCAGTACTAATAAAACCGTCAAGAATTTCGTTTGACTCGCGAAATCAAGGCATTGTTTTTTTTGACGACAGAATTGAAACCAGACCAAGGAAGGAGAAACTTAGAAGTGCGGACTCCATTCGTTGTCTTGGGTAAGAAAATATTTTAGCGTTAAATCTTGAACGGAAATCACAAAACAGCTCCGGTAAGATATCAGACTGAATTCGAAGGTTTTGGGCACAAAAAAAAATTTCTGAGACCCTTCTGTATTAACCCTAATTATATTAGCTGTACTCCATACTGAAATCATACAGTTTAGTTTACATTTAGAACTGTAGGATGTAAAGGAGGAAAAAAAAACGATTTGATGATGAAGACTTTTAATTGATGCTTTCGATAGGTCTTTATTCACTAATCTGGCAAGTCTGAAAAAGTCAATCAAAGATCAATCCCTACAGCAAAGTTAGAGAGTTAATTCAATTTTTCTGAAGATACCGCATTCAGTGACCTAAAAGTGATGATAAAGAACTTGCTTACAGAGTCTAGTTCTTGACTAGTGGCTGACTGTTTCAGTGCAGATTCTAATAAAAATAGGGCATACGTTTCTTCACTGCCGCGCCTGCTCATAATTTTAACTGAAAAAGGAGACGCGCAAGATCTCTCGCGAGGCGAAAAATCCACGCGAGTGCATCTCGTCGTAACCTGGATTGATTCTTGTTGCAGAAGCTATGTACTTATGTAAATAGGGATTATCTACGCAAGAAATCCTTCAGCTTCCACCTCACGTCTTGTTACTTGTCTGCATATGAACGGATAGCGTGGCTTGACCTCACTTAGTTTATACGTAGATATGATGTCACAGTTCAAATTCTTTTCCTTCTTCAAAAGCTTTCTACTTCATCAAGAACAATACAAAACAAATCTCTCTTGATCTGTCAACAAACCTTTATGCCGAAAAGCAAACTGTAGTTAAGTCATCTACATAAAAATTCAAAGGGGCCATGCTTGTTTACTCAAGGCCAGCCCGAACAGTGCTAGTAATTTCGTTTCTATGTATGTTGCCGTTGCGGACAATTTAGCTCTGAAATTTTCAACACTCATTCCCAAATAGAACAATCTGAGTCGAAGGTATGTATGATAGAATTCCATTGTTGTGATTAGGAATTGTCTACTACCGACTAATAACATGCCTTGAATTCAATCACTTTGTGGACGCAACAATTTGCTTAACAGTCTGTTAACAGAAGTTTTAGTTCCACATAAAGTTTTCAAATTAAAGCCATTTAAGTTTCGAGAGTCATTCAAAATTATTTCCTCCACACTTTTTCGCGTCCATCATCCATCATTTCCAATCCCGCCTCAGCAAATTAAGAAAATTTATGCCTTTAAAGAATGAATGATTTTATGTAGCTAGCCACGCCAGATAATGTTTCATTAGTTAGGGTCAGTTTACATACGGGAATCTAAGTCATGAGTACTTAAATCCATGTAGACCAGGTTTGAAAACGTTTTTCCAAACCTCGTCCCTCTCAAGGCAGTTCATTCGTGTAGGGTGCCATCGGGTTCACCTTTGCTGGAAAAAAATCACGATTCTAGATAATTTAATTCAGTTCAGTTGTTAGCAAATAAACGGCCACGATTGTGACCAAAAGATGGCAAAATCTTGATCTCATTTTCATAACTTATTCCCAGTAAACAGAACTAGGCCTTGGCAATGTGCTCTATGAGTTTAAGTAAACGATCGGCAGATGAGACTTTTCTATCCTCTCTAAATCTGTTGCCTGTGGTTTTTAATTGTCTCTCAGTTTAGTTTCAGAGGAAGCCAGAATATTCCGTATTGTTCAAAACTGAATCACACTTTCTTTACACAGGATACCCACTCAACAACACGATGATTGGCTTTCAATTAACTTCTGTGGCTCTCCTGTGCACGATGTGTCTAGTAAATGGATATGCAGGTATTGAATTCTACAGAAATTTAATTCAACACCTAACTGGTTTATGAAAATGGAATCAGCCAGATCTTTCGGCTTTTTCCTATACCCAGTCTCCTCCTTCCTGCATTGTATTAGTCTTGTGCCCAAGCTTCCCACTGTCAATTGGCTGCGGAATCGATGTGGGGGATCTTGGTGCAGGTTTACAGAATGATGAATAAGTGCGACATTTTGTGGATAAAAATTACTGAGGGAAGGGGAGGCAGGTACTGAAATTCCAAGAGTCTAAATATTTTCAAAGCTTAATACAGAACGAGAACGAGAGTAACCGGCTGACGCACGCGCATCGCGCAAAGAAGTTGAGATTCTCTGAGCGATTTTCTTTCCCCACCCTCCCCCTCCTTCTTCTCCTGTATTTCCCTTGTCATTAGCGTTCAGTCCTCCAACGGTCTTTTATGTGTTCATGGCTATCAATGAGCGAAGGACGTAAGATTAAGCAGAGATTTGTAGATAGGATGAAAAAAAAAGGGTGAATTAATATTTCGAACACTGTTGACCAGTGTGTATGATTTCCAGGGTGAAACTAAAAAATTGAATTGTTTAAGAAGAAAAAACATTTATGTTTTCTTAAAGGGATTTTTGGCGATGAGTGCCCCGTTGAACTTTCACAAAAGACTTCCAGGGCTTGCCAAGAAAGACGTTATCGACAACTGCTGGCTAATAAGAATATCTATCAGTTGGTCCCCATTTCATTTCATCCTAATGAACCAATCAGGTGGTTGAACATGACAAGTGATAAGATGGTAAGTTGCTCTACAGACTCACATTCCGCTCATCGGAGGTCTGGTGATTAATTGGTTAACCTCTATCCATTGAGAACACATTTTGATAGAGTGCGATGGAAGCAAAACCAACGAAACCACAGCAGCCAATCAGAGGATAGAAAAATTTTACAGGGAGCCAATAAGAAGCCGGATTAAAAAAAAAACTCGCAACAACCTGAAAAGTGGGAAAGCGCATATGACCAGGTCACGATAGGTTATAGTTTTGCCTCTCATT